GTAATCGACCCGGTCGGGGTACCGGGTCAGTGGGTCACTGGTTCAACCGCATGAACCGGATATATATATAAATTTATATTTTATACTTAATTATATAATAAATATTTTAAATGGTGCAAGTGAACCAAGAACCAAATGTAGCATAATGGTAAATATTACAATTTATATCTTCACAACAAGGGTTTGATTCCCACTAGATGCCATTTTTAAATAATTCTATTAAATGATATGATATATATATTAACTGGTTCATATTAACCAACAAACAAACTTAGCCCAGTGGTAAGTTTGTCTTGGGCATCCTCATGAGACTTGAGTTTGAATCCCAGCGGCTCCAACATTGGAAATATTTTTTTCAAAATCGGTTTAAGCAATAAAATTGGTCCACCGGTTGAACCGTGGTTCACGACCGGTTCACCGGGTCAATAGCATATCCGGTCCATTGCAAGAATCAGACCGATTGATGGGCCAGTTTCCGGGCCAACCAGTTAGACCTTGTTTTACTACCTTCCCCCAAGTAAGTTTCAATCTACCTTGATAACAAACTTTTGTTCTTATCGGAGCATTCAAAGGTCTTATTATCACGTGCCCAAACCACCTCAATCTATGTTCTCTCATCTATGTGGCTGTCGATACTACTCCTACCTTCCGTCGAATATCTTTATTCTTATCTTATCTACATCCTCGTATAACCACACATCCACCTTAATATCCTCATTTTCGCTACTCTCATTTTATGCTCATGTTGCTTATGTGTTGGCCAATATTCAGCTTCATACAATATAACATTGCAGGCCTTAATGTTGTTTTATAAGATTTTCCTTTTACTCTAAGGGGGATTTTGCGATTACACAAGAACCCAGATGCACCATGTCATTTCATCTATCCTGCTCTGATTCTGTGATATACATCTTCATCAATCTCTCCACCTTTTTGCAAAATTGATCCCATATATCTAAAAGCATCTTTCTTGAGTACCTCTTGTGCAAGCAGATGCACAGAATCTTGATCTCTATCTTTTGTCAGAGAAAACTCACACTTCATATATTCAGTCTTGCTCCGGATTAACGTAAATCGTTTAGACTCCAACATGCTTCTCCATAATTGTAGTTTTCTATTAACACCAGCCTTGGTCTCATCAATAAGTACAATATCATCTGCAAAAAGCATACACCATGACACTTCCTCTTGAATATTTTTTGTTAGTTCATCCATAACTAAGGTAAAGAGATAAGGACTTAGTGCAGAAACTTGGTGTACACCTATCGTGATAGAAAATAACTTGATGTTCCATTACAAGCCTTCACACATGTAGTAGCCCCATCATACATATCCTTGATTGCATCTACATACTTTGAAGACTCTATTTTTTTTCTCAAGAACCCACCATAAAATTTTCTTAAAACCCTATCGTATGCCTTCTCAAGATCTATAAATGCCACATGTAAGTCTTTCTCATTTTCTCGATATCTTTCTATTAATTATCGCACCAAGAAAATGGCTTCTATAGTACATCTTCATGGCATAAACCCAAATTGATTTACAGAGACCTTGGTCTCTTTCCTCAGACGATGTTCAATGACTCTCTCCCATAACTTTATAGTATGGCTCATAAGCTTAATGCCTCTATAGTTAGAACAATTTTGAATATCACCTTTATTTTTGTAAATAAGCATAACCATATTTTCCTCCATACATTAGACGTCTTATTTGTTTGAAGGATCTTATTGAAAAGATTGGTCAACCATTTTATTGCCACTTCCCCCAAGCCTCTCCACACTTCAATAGGGACATCATCGGATTCCAAAGCTTACTAGTCTTCATCTTCTTTAAAGCCTCTGTAACTTCATGTGCTTTGATTCCGGGCACAAATCTTCTATTTATATCATCATAAGCGTTCTCAAGGTCCACCTCGCTTTTATCGCCATCCCAATTAAAAAGCTTGTTAAAGTAGTTTATTTTTTTATTTTTTATCCTTGATGCATCTGACCTGGGAGAGGTCTTTACATTTCTTATCCCTTATTTTTGCAAGTTTATATGCCTTTTTCACCACCCTTGCTCCCGGGTTTTTTATACAAATCGACGAAAAACATGCCTCTAGCTTCTCGCATTATTTTTTAGTATTTTTTCTAGCCAATCTAAACTTTTGCAAGTTCTCATCATTAGGACTTTTATGCAAATATCTAATGCATTTCTTCTTCGGTTTGATTGACTCCTGCACCTCTTCATCCCACCACCATGTTTCCTTTGTTTAAAATTCATTCTCTTTGCTTTTTCCTAACACCTCCTTCCCACATTTTCGATACATATATCCATCTCATTCCACATTTCATTTTCTTCTCCATCAAACTCTCATGGTCCTTCATAAAGCATTCTTTCCTTGAACTCTATGTGTTTTCCCCCTTGAGCTTCCACCAACTTATCCCTGGGTTCTGAAAACTGTTTCGCATTTTATGTACTTTGTTTAACCGAACCTCTAGAACTATCAGCTTATGTTGCGTAGCGACACATTTTCCAGGGTAGACCTTACAGTCAACACAAGAGGTTCTGTATTCTCTTCTAGCCAAAAAGAAATCAACCTGGCTACGATTTTGGCCACTGTGATATGTGATTAGATGTGACTCTCTTTTTTGAAAAAAAGGTGCTTACTAGCATCAGATCATAAGCTAGTGCAATGTTCAAGATATCTTCTCCAGCCTTATTTTTCATCCCATAGCCAAAACCTTTATGAATTCTATCAAAACCTCCACTGCTTTTACCAACATGACCATTTAGATCTCCTATTATGAAAATCTCCTCCTCTCATGGTATCCCCCTCAAAAACCCCTCCAAATCTTCTCAAAATTGGTTCTTATCGTTTAATTGCAATCCAACTTGGGGGGCGTACACACTGAGGATATTCTAAATTAAATCACCCACTATAAGCTTAATCAAAATAATCCTGTCATACCACACCAAAATAAAAAATAAAAAAATAATCCTGTCATATTTCCTTTTGACGTCAACAACTTAAACTCTAAAACTTCTATCGATCATAATCCCAACATTATTTTTGCTCTTGTTTATACTTGTATACCACAACTTGAAACTAGTATCTTCCACTTCGTTGGCCTTTTCTTCAACCCACTTAGTTTCTTGCAAGTAAACAATGTTCACTTTCCTTTTAGCAAAAACATATGCTAACTCCCTCAATTTACCCGTTAAGGTCCCTATGTTGCAGTTTCTCAATCGCATCCTTAACCCCTGGGCATTTCTTGCCCGCCACGATCGCCCATCTGCGTGTTAGGACACTGACATACTTGTCAGCACATCCGGGTGAAGATGCCCATTTATCACTACATTAGTAGGATTCGATGCAATGCTTTGCCTTGAAGCAAGGGCCCTAGTTCATTTTTCGCTACACCCGGGGTCCGATGCAATGCGTTGCTATGAATGATACACCCCAACAAAAAGTTATAAGGGTTCATATCAAAAATATAACTATGTTTTACGGTTAGTTCGCTACACCTGACCCCAACCCTCCTCCTTTATCCTGGCTTGGGACAAGCCATCCTTTAAGGAAATTATCATTCAATATATTTTTATTTGTTAACAATGTAGAGTATATTAAATAATAAGATAGAAAACAAAATTATGCTTCCTCTTTCCGTATCAGATGAAACTAATCGAAAACAAAAATCAAAACATCCCTCCATAATAATAATAATAATAATAATAATAAGGGAGAGACCTCTATTTTGAATAACAGAAATTATTCGACAAAAAAATAAAATATTATTACGAAAACATAGCATTTTGGAATCAATTTATGAATCTATAGCAACTTGTCGCGCCCAAATAAGGCGCGATAGAGTGCATGGTTGTGCCCAATTTCGGCGCGACTCACCCGATGTTGACATGTGACATAAAAAAATAAACAATTTGATCGTAAAACTTCTGAAGGCCATAACTTTTGACTTGGGTGTCCGAATCAGGTAATTTTTTTTATTACACATAAATTTTCGAGATCTACGCAATGACATCTCATTGAAGGGGATTTGGTAAAAAAGAAATTCCATATTTTTTTTGAATTTGCAACAATGGTACCACCACAAGGGCATTTTATCTCCCAGAATTTTCCAAAAAAAAAAAATGACAACATAAGAATGTTTCTAATCATGAGAGTGGTTTCTTCTTTATACATGCGCCCAAACAACAAAGGACAACAACATTTCTTCTTACGGAAAGCCCTATAGTACTGATCTTGTTGCTGAAAAAACCGTTGGTTCAGAGGCTAACAATGGCGAAAAATGAGTGCCAAATTGTCGGCTCGGGTTAATGGAAGTTGGGGGAACCGTTGTAACGGGGTAATAGACATAGATGATGAAGGGACGAGGAAGTAATATTATTGAGGATATAAGAAAGTGGGAAAACTAGGCCAAGAAATCAATGACACATGCTGCAACTCATGATATTGGTTCGAGGGCTCCTGTGTTTAAACGCTCTTGTGATTATGACATCATTGTGTCAAATTCAAACTGTGTTTGTAGGAGACAAAACTTCAACTTAAATAATATCATTCACATTCGCAAAGATAAAATATGTAAAACGGGACACAAGTTGTATTTTTTAGGAAAACTTTTTGACTAAATCCCCTTCCGCCAGTGCGTAGTAGATCTTGAAAATTTATATCGGAATAAAAAAACACCTCATTCGGACAACTTAGTCAAAAGTTATGATTTTCTGAAATTTTACGACAAAATTGTTGATTTTTTTTTGCCACGTATTATTATCGGGTGAATCGCGTCTAAGTTTGGCAGGACTATACACCCCAATGCCCCTTATTTGGTCGCCCTCATAACTAATTATTATAGATTCGTAAATTGGTTCAAAACTATTGTGTTTCATAATTTCTTATTTAAATAATAATATTTAGATTTTTTTTTTGCCAAAATTGTTCTGATCTTTATTTTGAAGTTAAAAAAGGAAAAAAGAAAAGGAAGAAATATGTCAAGAAGAAGAAGGAGTGAGCAGAAGCTAAACACCTCAGCAAGTGCAGTCGCAGCCGCCACAAACGAATCCTGATCAACCTCTATGCTCTCTCACTCTCATTCTTCCAATCACAGCCGTTGATTCTCCGATCTATGAGCCTTATGCCCCTGAAACCTAGGTTCACCCTTACCTCCACATTATCACCGTCGTCATCCGCCATGTCTTCCAAAATCAACGGTCAGATTTCCCCCCAGCCCTGCCCCCATTTAGCCGAGCTCCGCCGCATCTCCTCTAAGCCATTCCTCGCCCTCCACGACTGCCTCCGGATCAAGCCTCCCGGTGGCCGCGCCTCCCTCCGCCGTGATCCCGACGAGGTCCCGCGCTGTGGTGCCTGCGGACTCTCCTCTCCTTCTCGCCTCTACGCCTGCATCACTTGCGCTGCCGTCTCTTGCCACTCCTCCGCCGCCGGCTGCCCCTCCCATGCGGCAGCTCACGCTGCCTCAATGCCGCCTGGTCACCAGATCGCCGTCGACATCGACCGCGCCGAGCTCTTCTGCTGCACGTGCCGCGACCAGGTCTACGATCGCGATTTCGACGCTGAGGTAGTGATCGCTCAGACCACCGCATCAACCCTCGGCGGCTCAGGATCGCCGGCGATCGCGCCGCCGCGACCAGAGAATCTCCGAAAGCGCCGAAGAGTGGATTACCGGCCTTGGTCTCCTGATCTGCGCGAGCGCTCTCTGATCGGAAGCTGTTCTAGCCCGATCGACGGCTCCGGCATCCGCGCCGATTCTTTTCCGGAATTACCGCGGGGATTGCGCGGGTTGAACAATTTGGGAAACACGTGCTTCATGAATTCGGTGTTGCAAGCGCTGCTTCACACGCCACCGTTAAGGAATTACTTCTTGAGCGATATGCATAACAAGTATTTTTGCCAGAAAAGGAGCAATGCTGATGGTGATGCCGGCAGTGCGGGGAAGAGAAGTGGTGGTATCAATGTGAACAAGAATGGGCGAATATGCTTAGCTTGCGATATGGATGCTATGTTCTCTGCTGTGTTTTCGGGAGATCGTGCACCCTATAGTCCCGCAAAGTTCTTATACAGGTGCATATAAACTGTGCTTTTAGGTTTGTAGTAACTTCTATATGTGGTTTCTTGTTTGTCTTGTAAATCTTTTTTTTCTTTCTTTCTTGGGTTTGTATATATATTGATGATGTTTAAGTTGTAATTTAATACATGTAATTATGGTGGGTTTAAATCTTGATTTTGCGTTTTCAGTGTCATTAATGTCACTTTGTGGTAGAAAGTTGATTTCTTTGATTTGTTATTGTTATTATGTTTCAGTTGGTGGCAACATGCGGCCAACCTTGCCAGTTATGAACAACAGGATGCGCATGAATTTTTCATTTCTATGCTTGCTGGAATCCATGACAAGGTGGAGAAGGAGCGGGGTAAGCCACATAGTGAAGGTAATGTATTCTGTCTGTGACACCAATTTTTTTCACCTTATGTGAAGTGATTGTTGACTATTATTAGTTTTTTTTTTTTTTGGTATCTGATTTGAATTTTTGTGACAAGGAGATTTCTTGTATGTAGTCAGTTGTTCTATTATCTTCTTTAATTTTCAATCTACACTGAAAATCAAAATAAAATTAAAACCTGTGTGGTATGTTGAAATTTTTTTGAACTTGTACCGCTAGAATCTCTAAACTGGTTTCTTTTGGATTATACAGCAAATTATTTTCTAGGTTAAATCAAATTTGCTAGTCTTGCCTTACACATTGGTTTGTACCTTTTGTCTAACTTCTGTGGAAACTCTGGTTTCTTTGGTGTCTTTGTTCAGATCTTTAAGATTTGTTTATTTCATTGTATTCAAGTCGTTGTTCATACATCATAGGTATCATCTTTAAAAAATTAATTTAGGGATTATTGCAATGCATGTCTTTTTATCTTCAATAATGGTGTTATTGCTATGTCAAGAGGACTTCTTCATTGACCAAAATCTATATTGGCCTGTGTCAAACCCCTGTTTTATAGGCAAAAAGTGCACTGTATGGTTTAATAGTTGTGAGAGAATTTGAAACCTAAACAATAATAGGACGCTGATCTATATGGTACTCAGTATTAGCATTGGATTGTCAAGAGACAAATCCTTTAGATGGTGTAAGAGGTTAATCTGTTAACCATTTCAACAGTTGACAAGTCAATGAATTAGCTCAACATAGTCATAGTTGCTACCTTGCTGATTATGGAAGATAATCAATAGAGTGCCACTGTCTTGCTGTCTTCAATGCCTTTGATTTTTTGTGTGTGTATGCATTCAAAATACTATTTAAGGTAACAGAGTTACCATAATATTTAACTGCAGGGTGAGGGTTTAGGTCTCTTGCTTGTTGCCCTATAGGAGTTGACCATTGCTCAAACAATTAGGGCTAATTCTCAACGACAACCTGCTGTCGTGATGGTGTTAGCTGCTACACTCCAGTGAGTCCCAGTAAGTCAATTTCTCCTTAGCCTATTCGTTTCATCACATAGGAGACTGTAGATCAAATGATGCTAATGTTAACTCCACCTTTTGCCTTGTATAGGCTCTAATTAAACAAGCCCTGTCCTATCCTGGAGAAAAGTTTGCGTTAGTTTTCCAGCCACCACTAATGTATTAGAACCCGAGTTTCCTAATAGCTTGGCTATTTTAGTAGGTCATCTGTTCAAGAATCCTGTATTTTGGACTGGACTCCTGCATTTTGGAGAGGGCCTAGGGATAATACTATAACATCTTCTGGTTTAACTACGAGGTACAAAGTTCTCCCATAAATAACTTTTAGAGGCTATAAGATGTGAATTTTCTTTGGACCTATAGAACATATAGATATAGCGAATGAATTTATGGTTGTCTTGTAGTGTTACTGAGACAAATCTGATGGCAGTGAAATTTTAGTTTCAAAATGTAGAGATTGTCAACCTAGACTGTTGGTCCTATATGGTGCCTCAACTCTTCTACCTTTTATTTTCCCTATTTCTGAAAATATTAAGAAAAGATCGCCAAACTGATTTTTTTTAGTTTTTTTGGCATACATAATTTATTGGTAATTTAAATGCAAACGAAGTGAGTTGTTTCTCTATGTGCCTTTCCAGAAGTTTATTTTTACATCTCCACTTGAACACCTCAACTTTAACATCAGGGCCCACCTCGTTTTGTAATTTTAATTATCCTACATGGAATTTTCTTGCTACCTTCTTTGTGTGCTGAAGAAATTAAACAAAATTGCTGAAATGTAAAAGATCTTCAATGTTAGCTTAGCTCTGCTCTTGAACAGACATTATTTGATTAAGGTGACATTTTGTGTGACCACATTTCATTGATGGCACAGGCAACGGTGACTGTTGTATTGCTCACAGGGTATTCTCTGGTATCTTGCGATCTGATGTTATGTGTATGGCCTGTGGTTTCACATCAACAACTTATGACCCATGCATAGACATATCATTGGACTTGGAACCAAATCAAGGGGGTTCTACCAAGATGGCTGCCACAACATCCAATCATTCTTGCAATGGTGAGGCCGATTGCATGAATTCGAGCCAAAACTGTGGGACATCTACCCTGATGGGGTGTTTGGAGAGATTTACAAGAGCAGAGAGATTGGGGGCAGACCAAAAATTTTTCTGTCAGCAATGTCAGGTGAGGCAGGAAACACTCAAGCAGATGTCCATAAGGAAGCTTCCCCTTGTTTCTTGCTTCCATATAAAAAGATTTGAGCATTCTTCAACGAGAAAGATGTCAAGGAAGGTGGACCGCTATCTGCAGTTCCCATTTTCACTAGACATGTCACCTTATCTTTCATCATCAATCTTAAGGAGTCGGTTTGGGAACAGAAGTTTTCCTTTTGATGGTGATGAGCCTGATGCTTCAAATGAGTTGTGTTCAGAGTTTGAATTGTTTGCTGTCGTCACTCACACTGGTAAGCTAGATGCTGGCCATTATGTGACTTACCTGCGATTAAGCAATCAATGGTACAAGTGTGACGATGCCTGGGTTACTCGAGTTGATGAGAACATTGTGAGGGCTGCCCAGGGTTACATGATGTTCTATGTACAGAAAATGCTTTACTATAAAGCAACTGATAAACAGGTCTCCTCATGATTGGCACAGGAGATGGTCCAAATCATTGGTATGCCATGGTTAATATCAATTTTCACTCTAATGATATGCCATGGCTTTAACATTTATACATGCGGAAACAGGGAAAAAAAAAAGAAAAGGAAAATATGATTTCTTCGCATCATACCTAGCTACTCTGTATCATTGCTAGAGATGAGAATTTATCCTTTCAAGTTGGAGGAAGAAACGAGCCAGAATTTTTTAGGCACTCCAACTTTTTGAAAACTTGAGGGTATGGATTCTTTGAAAGTTGTTTATGCTTTCTTCTTTTCTACCTTGCGCCACCCCCCCCCCCCCCCCCCCCCCCCCTCTTGATGCGTTGAAAATCAGTGCTAGGAGGGTTTTGCAGATCTATTATACCTTCACACTTTATAAGATCACCTTGATTGCATCTGTAAAATATTTTCTTAAAATGCCGTTTGTCGCTGAAATCAAGCTGGGGATTTATACAGATATTCAACAGCATCTGAATCAAAATATCTTGTTACATGCAAAATTTCAATTCCAAACAAGCGCGCGGAATCAGCAAAAAATGACAAGAACCACATCATGACAATAGCAAATATCACCAAATCGTTCCTAATAAATAGAAAACATAGTATTTTATGATTAACATGAGTCATTACGTGTTATATTGTAGTAAAACTGTAGCCGTCCTTCGAAATGTATCCAATTGTCATGTTAGTTTTTCAGTCTATACAAAGGTGATAAAATTTTACACTCGGAGGTGTTTGGTACGAGTATTTGGTATGGAATGATGGGAAAGTGGGGTGGAGAATATTTATTTACCATGTTTGGTATGAGTATTATGAACAAAATGTCAAGAAATTTTTTTACGCAGTATTTATTTTTTGAACTACACTAAGGCAAATTTTTGTCCCATTTAATCTTTGGTATTTTTTTTTCTTGATCTTGGATTCTCAAAAGGTACATTTAATTAACTTTTTCCCAAAAAAAAGCAACATTTGATGATGGCATATTCAAAAAATGAAGGGTATTTTGATAATTTCATTCACATTTCCATCAATATTTTACCATCAACCAAACATAGCATCAGTAAAATTAACCCAACTTTCCTTGCAAAATTTTGGCCAACCAAACACTTTTTTGTAACTTATCCTGGATAAAAAATTCCTACCAAATCACTAACAATCTTTTTTTCTCGGTTAAAAAAATATCTCTCATACCAAACGCCCCCTCAAGGGCGTTTGATATAGGTATTTTAGTTGGAATGATGGAAAATTGAGGTGAGGAATATTTATTTATTATGTTTGGTATGAAGAATGTGAATAAAATGTTAGCAACTTTTTTTTTCCCAGCATTTTTCTTTTGAACTATACAAAGCTAAAAAATTATCCCACCCAGGCCATGGTATTTTTTTCCCCATTCTCTTGGATTCTGAATATAACTTTTTGAGACAAAAATACTCTGCTGAACTATATGACCACATTATAAAAATAACTCAATATTCTCGGCAAAAATTTTGGCATACCAAACACCTTTTTGTAACTTGTCTAGGATAAAAAATATGCCATATTCTCGGTAACTTTTGTTTCTCGGTTAAAAAAATATCTCCCATAGCAAACGCCCCCATGTGTACAAAGATGGGTATTTTGGTAATTTCGATTCACATTCCAATCAATATTTTATCATCAACCAAATATAGCATCAGTAAAATTAACCCAACTTTTCCGACAAAATTTTGGCCAACCAAAAGCTTTTTTGTAAGTTACTCGGGATAAAAAAATTCCTACCGAATTTCCAACAATTTTTTTTCAAGTAAAAAAAAAATATCTCCTGTATCAAACTCTGCCTGAAAGGGCAAAAGTAATTCACAGATCTCAACTTGTCATTTATCGAATGTTGGATGAGAAATTTAAGGTGAGAAGGGGGGAGGAGAAATGTCTGGAAGAAGGGATATATATGTCATTGCCATAACTTACATTGTGAATGTTTGGAATGTTAGTTTTATCTGACGAAATAGATATTGTACTTTAACTTTCCCCCGTTTCCTCAGTTCTAAAAATTCAATTTTTTTTTGAATGAGTTAATTGTTTTCACATGCTTCTGTTATTGAACCATTTGGGGTTTATTGTTGTCATATAAACTTTGATTTGTCTCTTAGCAATTTAATGGTATTTTCTACATTTATAAAATGTTTGTGGGGTGCATACAATTTTAGCATAGTAGAAAGTTTATATTATCTATTAAGAAATTCTGGAAATAATCTGAGTGGAATATATAAATCACATTCTACAACACACACAGAGAAAGATGGTTCCTCTGTAAATCCTTTGAAACGTAAGCTAATCTAGATAATTCGGTCTTCTTCCTTTCAAAATTGCTCAAGGGGGTATTCAGGTTCCATTTGTCTATACATGCAGTTGTGGTATCTCCATTTTGTGTGTGAGAGAAAAACATGTATTTCCTCCTTAAATGCTTAGTCACTTATGCTGATATAAATTATTTGAATATTTCCTTCACTGATTGCTTCTGTGAGTATTTAGCATTCCATTTCTCTTACCATGTGTGTTTGTCAGATCTCGCTTTTATGTGAGAGAGATGCAATTGGTTCCAGCCTACATTCTTAAATGCCTATTTTGATCTGGTTAATATGGCATCCTTCCTTCCTTGGTTTCTCTTGAAGAATTCATTCTTCTGTTTTCTATACATGTGTGTTTCTCATTTTCATATCCTTTGCTGAAGCACCTTGCGTGTCATACAGGGTTGTGTGCTCTTACCCTTCCTTCATTCCCACTCTTCAATCATTTACAAGTACATATAGGTTAGTTATTCAGTTTCTTCAAACCTATCTGCAAGTATATAGATATAATGCTTTAACATATTGCAAAATTTTACCGTTGAAGTGCTGTTAAAATATAATGATTTTTGACCCTAATCCGTGGAGTTATATGATTTTTTGGCCCGTGTAGGCTGATTAAAATGCAGGTTTTTTGGCCCTGGCCCGCGTGGGCGAGGACCTAACGGGCTAGCCCTGCCCGTTTTGACAGCTCTACTTGTCACATATCTCAACTTTTCAAGAAATCTCGTAAGAGAAAAGGAGGGGATGCAAATTTTTCATAAATCCTCTAAAACTTTTTTTAAGCGAGCTTGCTGAGTTCTTTTTTTTTTTTTTTTTGAAAACAAAAGGAAAGTAAAAGACAAAACAACAAAACTAAAACACCTAGGCACAAGCCTAGGCCAGTGAACTCCCATTTGATCACTCAGCAGGCAATGCAAACAATCAGACGAAGGATCATCAAACAACTGGATAGGCCAAGAAAAATTGCTAGCATATGCAGTCAGCCAGTCCGCCACACCATTACCCTCATGGTGGATGTGCTTAACATTCCAATCTTTGACAAGCTGTATCCTGATACGAAGAATCAAACCATACGAAGGATGGGATGAACTGCACTCCCTCAAGGTGAGCTGCTGAGCTAATTGAGAATCTCCTTCCAGCCAAACTTTTCTAAATCTTTTGAACCAAGCAACCTCCAAACCTACAAGGATCGCCCAAAGCTCTGCATTCAAAGCCGTTCCACTTCCCAAATTTTTATAGAATCCCGTTATCCAGTTTCAGAGCTATCTCGAAAAACTCCCCCACAGCCAGAACTAAAACCATTAGCAGAGCGAGTCCCGTCGAGGTTAATCTTAATCCAATCCAAAGGTGGAAAAGTCCAAACTATTAGAACTTGCTGAGTTCTTTGAAATTGGGAGGGTATAACAATTTAATTTACATATTTACCTTATTCAATTTTAAGCGTTACATTTTAATTATATTTGCAGGATAGAATGTTTGATTGACCCATCTTGATGTTCTCCTTCATGAATTTGTAAATCTGAATAGGGTACGAATTTATCATTCATTTTATTTTATTATTTTTTTGCCATTCTTTCTTCTAACTCTTTCTTTATTTTCCTCCTAATTTCCTTATGCACCTATAATAAACTAAAAATTTGGATAAGTTATTTCGAGATGAGATATGATGTTATTTTCTAGATAATAGTGCATGACAATCATTTTAATATGTAAAATATTTTTTTTTTTTTATTAATTTGACAAAATGTTTCAAAAGCTGTATTAATTGGGTTAAAATTACACAAATTTTGCTAATGGTAGTTGACACAATATTAAAAATTATATCAATACAAAAGTGAAAATAAATACAAAGTATTAAATATAAAGAAAAGAAGAAATTTTTTAGTAAATTAAAATCTTTAGATACATAATTAATCAATTTGACCGTGAAACAAATTGATAACGATATTAATAATAACAGAGATTCAAATTTTGATCTAACTAACATTCCTCCCTTACCTCTCACCAAAAAAACATGTTTTTTTTTTTTACCGTCACACAGAGAAAATATATTGTTGCGAATGATAAGATATTGAGGAATTGTCCACACGTAAAATCATAAGTATTGATACAATTCTCAATCATGGTCCCTGCGGATTGGATCATCCATATAATATACAAACAGAAACTCTAGATATTGAATCTCTTTCTCTTTGAATGATATCTCAATTTCAGCGACGGTTTCATTAGATATCTTACAACTAGAAACTCTCTTTTTTCCGATCCAGTTCCTCCACCACTGCGAATCCCAGCTAGATTCAGGCATGATACACTCTTTAATTATTGGGAGAACCCGAGTACTCTCTTTTGGGTCCAGAAAAGAGCTCTCTGAGATCTTTTTTCTTTTTGAAAGATACAAGAACAGAACAATAAACTTGGAAGACTCAAAAAGATTCTTCTAATATATCATTTCCGGGTCAATGAAATTCATGGGTATAGAAAGAAGCTTTGTCACATATTTTGTTCTCCCTGTAAGTTATTTTTCAGATAAAAATAACGTAAACTCTGATTGAATGCAATATAATGTGAGCTGACAGATAGCGTGAGACAGTAACAAACTCACGCCTCTTTTGTATTATTCAATCCAATAAATGAATTTAACTATTAAATATAAAAAAAAATTAGATACTAATTTAAATAAAATATAAGACAAAAAAATTATTTTGGGAAAAAAAGAAAGAAAGAAAGAGGGTGAGGTGTGTGTCATCTTTTATCTGTCTTATCCCGTAATCTCCATCTACCATGATTTCTCTTGCACCACCCTTTCCACCTTCGCCTTCATTCGTTTCAGATCCTTTTTCTTTCTATTCACCGTGCTTTGGCGCTGTTCGTTGTTCCTATCTTCTAAATTAGGGTTTTTCTCATTCACAGATTCTCGAGCAACTTCCCGTTATTTACGAGATTTTCGTTTCCTTAATGATTGAGCTTTGTCGGTTGGTTTCGCCAGCGGACCACAAAATGCTTCTTGGGATTTGAGTGTCCCGAAACTTGTTCTGCTGCCTTTTCTTTTTCATATTATGGTTCCTCGTTCTTGATGCCCTAATATCGAAGTGAGCGCCTTCCAAGAATCTGATATTTTTTAGGTGAACTTCTTTTGGCTTTTTAATTGCGTTTTTTTTTTCTCTCTCTGTTGAATTAGATTAATTGCTGTAATTCGTTTGGTGATTCGTTCTTTCTCTGCTACTTATGTCGGTTACGCCAATTTGTGTAATTTCATCAGAAATGGGAAGTGCTATCTTATCATGTTCTTTTGTTGCACTGACACTAATCAACTGAAGTTCTTGAAAAGTAAATTGCTAAAAAGGGTTACGTTTTCAAAGTTGACTTGCAATTGGCTTGGCACTTTTCGCGTTTGTGCATATCGATTGAATTCTTTCAAAAAAAGGAAATTCAATTGCGTTTGTTGCTTTGTTGATTGCATGTCATAAATAATTTGACTGATGTTTCTTATCTGTTTTGAGGTGTTATTTTCACTTTAAGAAAGCTAAAATTATCTCTTTGGCTCACTGTTTTACATTGTCAGTTTTTAGTTATATAGAGTTATGGACTTTTCCTTTCATATATTGCTGTAGGATGAAAGGTGTTAGAGATTGGGTTTTCTCTCAGATACTGTCCAAATCAGTGGTCTCGTCTCTGCCATTATCAGGAAGTAATAATAGTTTCTATGATGAAGTGCAACGGGATGAAGATTTTAATGGGCAAGGTACAACCCTGATTTACTATTTGCTGTGGAATTACGGAAATGCACTTAGATAACTTCTCACGAGAGAAGGTCTTAATGGACTTCTCCTCCTCCCCCAAATAGTGGGCGGTTAAATAAGATGATACTATTAGGCAGTGTTTTAAAACCCGGCTTGGACCGGCCGGGTCGACCCGGGACTCGGGAACCCGGTGGGTTCCCCAGTCCGAGCAGGTAGTTGGACCGCTTCTGCAGTCAGCCCGGATTGGACCGGCCGAAACCCGGTGACCCGGGTTAGACCGGTTATTCCTTTTTGTTTTTTTTTGGTAATTTTTTTTTTGTTGATAAGAACTCTTGAATTAAATCATATTCATATTTTATAATGAATATGATTAAAAGTAAGGTGAAAATAATAAGGTATTTTAGATTAGTGCAATTCGTTTATGTAATTTAGTTGCATCTTATAATGATCTCATGAAGTTAAGTGGTGATAAACACTGTTGGTCTCTTGATCTCATCTCAACGGTGGACACTTTTTTTTAGTGTATATTTCATGCATACTATTTGTTATCATGATAACGGTGACACTCTTTTCTTAGTGTATATTTCATGCATACTATTTGTTATCATGATTTAATTTATCCGTATCATGTCAAGCACAAAAGGTGCATTTAACTTATATTGCAATTTTAGTCCAATATTAGGATATGGTCTAGAGCTAGAAGCGTAGAAGTATATAATGTTTGCTATCATTGAAATCAATTTATTTTTTGAAGCTCATTGATAGTTTTCTTATGTGAATTTTTATTAATATAAGTAATATTTTTATACTTTTAATATGTGAACAGTAAATCCGGTTGAACCAGTGACCCAGTACCTCGACCGGTTCGATGACCGGTCCGAGTTTTAAAACACTGCTATTAGGAGATCTCAGTTTTGCTCTATTGTTTCGTGCATGTTAAGCTCAGCAGATAAATAGGGATTTAGTTAAAAGTAACACCTTCAAATTACATGATGCTATACATACTTCTTTTGTGGGTGCTTAAAATCGAAGGCAGTTAAGCTACACCACTACTCTCTCCAAGGAAACATTGTGTCATGATTCACCACCACTATGCATATAGAGGAACTACGGAAGCTATGTTTGTAATTGATAATGGAATGCCTTTACAATCTGGTAATTTGGGGACATAGGTATAGTACCATGCCAGAAGGCTAAGGGTAGGAATCAAATCCAAGATTTGAACTAGGTGAATGACCCATCTATCATTGAACAAATACTTTCTGGGTGCAAAAGATATTTTTTTTAATCTTACCTTGATAATAAAATTGAATTCTTAATAACCATTCTATTCAAGAACTTAAAATTACATATTAAGGTGGCTGGGCTGGTATCTGCCCTCTATTTCTGCAGGAATTGCAACTGTGATGTATTTACCAGATTTTTTCTGGTTGTTAGTTCTTTGATGTTGGGAGAAACAGAAGGGTTATTTTTCATGTCCAGTCAAGTGAACAAGTAAATTTAAAGATTATGTTTGCCTCCAGTTCTAGAGATGCAACATTCCCAGTAAGTAAAAGAGGTTTTCTGATGTTGATCTAAGGGTTTATTTTCTTAAATCTTCCCTAATTAAGCATGACTAAAGCAAGTAATACTAAATTCCATGCGTAGGAATCAATGTTTGCTCCAATTCTGAATTTTGTGACTGAAATGCATATCATCGATACGATATAGATGGAACTGATACATGTGCTTTTTGTTAGGTTCTGCTCACTCAGTTAGTTCGGTAGCATCACCAGTTCCTTCTGACACATCAAACTCTTTTAATGGTAATCAGAGTAATCAGCAAAATTCTGCCTTAGTGCAAGCATCAGATACAGAAATTTGTCAATCTCAACATAGCTCCAATGGAAGACGTAGGGATACTTTATCAAAGGTTGATGATCTCCAAGTTAAATTGTTCCGCCTGCTCAAGCGCCTTGGCCAGCAAGAAAATCTCTTGGTCACAAAGGTTCTTTATCGGATGCATCTGGCAACTTTGATTCGTGCTGAGGAATCAGATCTGAAAAGGGTTAACCTCAGTAGCAGTAGAGCCCGAGCAATAGCAAGCCAGCAGGAGGCAACTGGTATACCCGAAATGGATTTCTCCTGCAGAATACTTGTCCTCGGTAAAACAGGAGTTGGTAAAAGTGCTACCATAAATTCCATATTTGGAGAAACAAAATCCATCACTGATGCATTTCAACCTGCTACTAATTGCATCCAAGAAGTTGTAGGAACTCTCAATGGTCTTAACATAACGTTTGTGGATACCCCTGGTTTCCTGCCTTCCTCTAACAGTAATGTGAAGAGAAATAAGAGGATCATGCTTTCTATAAAGAGGTTCATTAGAAAGTCCCCTCCAGACATTGTGTTGTACTTCGAACGGCTTGATCTTATCAATGCTGGTTACAGTGACTTACCACTTTTGAAACTTATAACTGAAGTGTTTGGCAAAGCAATCTGGTTCAACACCATCCTGGTCATGACTCATTCTTCCTCATCTATCCCGGAAGGACCTGACGGGTCTACTGTTAATTATGAGTCATATATTTCTCAATGTACTAACTTAATACAACAGTATATACATCAGGCTGTGGTCGATTCAAGACTTGAAAACCCCGTACTTTTGGTTGAGAACCATCCTCAGTGCCCAAAAAACACTTTGGGGGAGAAAATTCTTCCAAATGGACAGGTTTGGAGAACTCAACTCTTGCTACTTTGCATTTGTACCAAAGTTCTGGGTGATGTCAATTGCCTCCTTAAGTTTCAGAACAGTGTAGAACTGGGACCAGAAAATAGTACCCGAATTCCTTCTCTACCCCATCTACTTTCATCCCTCTTACGCCATCGCCCTGTATCCAATCTAAGTGGAATTGATGATGAAATTGAGGAAATTTTACTCTCAGATAATGAAGAAGAAGATGAATATGATCAACTTCCATCTATACGAATCTTGACAAAATCCCAGTTTGAAAAGTTGTCCCAGCAGCAGAAAAAAGATTATCTGGATGAAATGGATTACAGGGAGACTCTTTACTTAAAGAAACAGTTGAAAGATGATTATCGTAAGCGCAAAGAGAAGTTACTCTTAAAAGAGCAGGAGTTTTTGAATAGTGATAATTCTGATGATCAACAGGCTCCTTCAGAACCTGTTCTGTTACCGGATATGGTTGTTCCTCCAAGTTTTGACTCAGATTGCCCTATTCATAGATATCGTTGCCTTGTTGCTAATGACCAATGGCTTGCGAGACCTGTTCTTGATCCCCAAGGATGGGATCATGATGTGGGCTTCGATGGTGTAAACTTGGAGACCGGTACAGAAATAAAGAAGAATGTATATGCCTCGGTTGTGGGACAGATGACTAAGGACAAGCAGGATTTCAGTATTCAATCTGAGTGTGCTGCAGCTTATGTTGATCCGTGGGGTCCTACTTATTCTTTGGGTGTTGATGTTCAGTCCGCTGGTAAAGATCTGGTATGTTCAGTTCATAGCAACACAAAGTTGAGAAATATAAAACACAATATTGCTGACTGCGGTGTTTCTTTGACATCTTTTGCAAATAAGTACTATGTGGGAGCAAAATTTGAGGATACTGTGTTAGTTGGGAAGAGATTAAAATTTGCTATGAATGCTGGCCGCATGGAGGGTCCAGGACAAGTGGCATATGGTGGGAGTTTTGAAGCTAGTCTACGCGGTGAAGATTATCCTGTAAGGAATGACAATTTAAGTCTGACAATGACAGTCCTTTCCTTCAATAAAGAGATGGTATTGAGTGGAAGTTTACAATCTGAGTTCAGGTTAAGTCGAAGCTTGAGAGCATCCATTAGTGCTAATCTAAATAGTCGCAATATGGGGCAAATATGTATAAAGACGAGTAGCTCTGAGCATTTACAAATTGCTCTGGTTGCAGTTTTCTCAATTTTCAAGGCTCTATCACGTAGAAAAGCAACTAAGAACATGGTGGAGGAAGTAATGGACAGAGGTTAGGTTCTGTGTGTTTGGCCGGACTGATCTTTTTTTTGGTTTAAGGAAGAAGCGAAAGTGGTATAGCAGTCTACATGCCAAACATAGATACTTTTTTCCCCTGTGAAGGGAAGACAGGTTAGAATCAGATTTTTTTTGTTTTTGGAAGAGGTTAGCTGGAGTTCTATTCTTCTTGATACTTCAGGTGCCTGTTTTTGGAAGTCTCTTTAGGTAAGGCTGGCATCTTGAACCTACTTATGTCTGTAGATCGTTGTTCAATAATCAGTATCTGGGAGCTTCATCAGCTATTGATATTCATTTCTATTTTGTAGTAAATGAAGTCATGACTGTACAGTAAAGCACAGAAAATTTCTGGCTTTTTTCTCTGATTTTTTTAAATAAGTTGGAATATGATTGCAATAGGAATTATTGCAATGTGGAAAATGTTAATGAAGCTCAGGATGCATTGTAAATGATAGAGCAAATAGCTACAGATCATCTCGTTTTAAAAGTTTGCATTCATGTTCTTATGCTGGATTTGAATTCATTGTGCGGTACGGCCGGTACCTATCATCGAACAGGATTTTCTATGGATTTTGGTTCAGGAGACTCGGTTGCCGGCAACATGTCAGTAGGTGAAGAAGAATAAGTTGTATTTTTGCCCAAATCCTTTTTTCACCCTACAGTAAGTAATGTGTTGGGCATTTTTCAGTTGCAACTATCTTCTGAGTTCTGTTGTGCATTTCCTTAAGATGCAAGTCTGACTTAAGAACTGCCTAGTTTTAGGTTGCTTGCTGAGCAGTGCACTACTCGCGTCACAAAAATGAAGACACAGCATTCAGGTTGAATTGACACCTGAGGCGTTTGTACGAGCGATTCAACTATTAGTAGGGGTGTACATGGTTTGGGCAAATTGAACCGGTTTTAAAAAGTGATTCAGTTCTAAAATTTGTTTGAAAAAATATGGTGCGGTTTGGTTCATTTATTTTTTGCACACTTCTTAGAGTGTGTATCGAACCGGATTTTAAAAAATGGTTTAGTTTTTGAGCCAGTGGTTCTGTTTTTGAACTAGTTAAAAAAATGTGATTCTTTTGGTGCCTTTTACTATTTGGTTTTTCACATTTTTAAGATTGTGTATAATTGGTACAGTGGTTTGGATTTTGGATTGAACTAATTTTAAAAAAATGGTTCAATTTTTGAACCAGTTCGAAAAAAATGATTATGGTTATGATTATGTTCTTGAACCAGTTTAAAAAAAATGTGATTCTTTTGGTGCAATTTAGATATGCTCAATTTTGGTTCATTTGGATTTTTTACACCTCTTAACTTATAGTTCTCCTCTCTCTTCGCTCCTCCTTTTATACACCCTGAATTTTTAGACTATTACAGGCTATGTTGCACCAATATGGCGGGACACGATATGACACAATATTCTGACACATTAATTTTAAAAAGTATTAAATTTTAACATATTAAGATACGTTTTGATATTAAATAATATTTTTTATTTATGTAGTGAATATTATATTTAATTTTCAATAATTTAATAAAAAATAAAGGGGTTTGCATCTATCATGTCACATGACACAAAAAAGTTTCCTACACACAACATTTTGTGGGGTCCACACTTTATGAAGCAAAAAAAAAAAAAACTAAGGCACACAAAACGAATCTCTATAACATTACACAATCATTTTTCCTACAACATAACTCTTATAAAACCCAAAAATAAAACTAAACTTATAATACCCATCAATTTTGTAAAGAAATTTAAGATGTAAATATTTACTATTATATTTTCAAATTGAAAATTTCTTATACACTCCAATGAGATTTATGCGGTATCTATTTTTAATTTTTATTGAGGAAAGTTATACTTACAACCTTTTTTTTACAACCTCTTACAATCATATCTTAACACCGTTGATTTCTGCCAATCAACGGTTATCATTTATTGTGAATTAATAATTAATTAATGAATTTAATTTGCGAAAATCATAACCGTTGATTGACGGAAATTAACGGTGTTAAGATATGATTGTAAGAAGTTGTAAAAAAAAAAAGTTGTAAGTATAACCTTCTTCATTTTTATTATATCAGTCTAGTAAAATATCGATTAACTTTTTCATGATATGTAATGAAATTTTAAATATTATAGATGTCGGAGCATGTCAGAGTGTCAGGGTATTTGAAATATCGGTGCAATATAGATTTCAGGTAATTATTAAAAGTTTTCCAAAATCAGTTGAGCTCCTAAATATGAGAAATGTTGCATAAAGTTATTTAATTCATGCCTTTGTAATAGTTTGATTAATAATGTACTTGTCAAAAACATGATTAGTGTGTCACTTTCATAATTTATATTGAATGCAAATTTATAGAGCATTTAAATATTTACTTTTTAATTATAAAATATAAATTGTTTTTACAATATTTATAAAAAATGTGATAATAAGTATTATTAGTGATTATATGATGAACAAAAACTGGTAGATAGATCTGAATAAAAGTATGTAACATTCTATTTAATAATTTTGCAGCTTGATGGTTTAACTAGTGTATTTAAAAGTTTATGAGCACTACTAAGAATCAACTTCAAATTCAAGAAATGTATACAAATTTTTAAGGGATAATAAGAATTTGAACTCTCTTTTATAAGAGCTATTTACGTGCTAGAATCTCTGTTAAAAAATTTGTCCTGTGTCTATCCTTCTCTTGGGAACTTTATTATGTGACGAACTATCCAGGGGAACCCAAATTGGAGGTGGGGTCATTTGTACTCAGTCGATTGGCCTCCTGCGCTAATCAACCTTGGATTTTTTTTTGTCTCCTTCGCTTATCAATGACGTATCCCAATGTGCCAACACCATGGGCGTTGTGGGTGTGCGGCTTTCTTAAATTTCAATATTTCATTCATTAATCATATCAAATAATCATATCTTGGACCCCCGATGCACAATGAGCTATTAAGGACACGCAATCTTTTGCCATTTGATTAGATAAACTCGTTCGTTGCTACAAATTTATTCTCAAATATAATCATATCACAGTCCCTTATAAGAAAACTAATACTGATGTCCTTTCTCCAGTTGTTGCCCTTTAATTTACCGCAGGTGGCACTGACATCTGTTTCTTTCTCTATTTGCAATTTATTTTAGAAGCACTAGAAACAGGTTTATATATTCTGCCACCGTGGTCTCTATGATCATGACATTGAAATTTTGAAATAGATTGCAATTCCTTGAAGTTTCCATAATGCCAATTTCTACACGCAACTCCGAAGCTTTGACTTGGTCCTGTTGAGAAAAAAAGGGGTTTGGGGAATAGAAGCTAGTACATAAAGAGATAAGGTTTAATTAGTAATTAGGGAGTAACAAATATCAATGACCAATGCAAAATGATAAAAACAAGAATACATTGACTTAGGCTTCCGGCCAAGGGAATGAGCAAAGGAAAATCTAATAGTTCCCAGCGTGAGAAAAACGGAATAGAGAGTAAAGTTATTGGTTACGTGACAATGATTATCACTTCACTTGTACAATTATTGGTTCTTGGCACAATTCCCTCTTTTGAGCTTCGTGACTGCCCCATGACGAACGCAAGTTCCTATAGTCTTCATTCTATGTTGTTTTTTTATAAGACATAATAATATAAGGCTTTGTTTATTTGTTTCTATCCCCACCACAAGAATGGCATATGCCATGACGATTCCCTTCAAAATCCTGATTCCTAAGCCACCTTAGCATATTCTGTATCCAAATTCTTTTGATTCCCACAACAACAAAAACACAAACAAAAAATTCTCAGCTGAGTAAGTCCAGAGCATAATGCACATTACTTGACCTTAGGATTTCCATGACATATTGAGACAGAGGAACTTGTTCAACAATTTCTTCACATACCCAAATAACATTATTATACAAAATGTAAGCGAACAAGATGTATTATTATTAATTACACTATGGAAACAATATAACAATTGAATCACTTTGTTGTAAAAATTAAAAAACAAAAGTTAAGGCGAAGAGCCCCACAAAACCTCAGCAACAATGGTTGCAGCTTCGGCATCAGAAACAGAGGCCTCTCTAACCTTAACCAAAATTTGTGGCTTGAAAGCCCTTTTCTCTCTTTGCCTTAACCCTTCTCCTACTTCCAATTGCACAGCAAACCTAGCCACACAGCTTGCAAAAGGGTGTTTCTCCAAGAACCTCTTCCCTCCAAGACCAACATGTTCTTTCTTATTCTCATGATCCAAGTCAATCAAATCACCACCCACTTCAGATCTCTGCAGCTCCACAAGCTTCTTCACTAGACCCTCCTTCAGCATAGCCTCAATGGCTTCCTTGCGACCAAAGTAACCAATTTCAAGAACACAATCCATGGCCAAAACCCTCATTTGCAGGTCTTCCGAATTCAATAGTGCTATGATGTTTGGTATCTCGCCATTGGATTCGATCTCATCCACGAGTGGTGACCTAATTGACCTTATGAGTGAGTTCAGAACCTCGATTGAATGAACGGAAGCCATGGAAACCAAAGCTCGTATGGTGGGACCCATGAGAACCTGACCCACGAACACATCCTTGTTGAACCGGATCAACGCCGCGACGGCCAGACCGGCCTGCTCCCGAACCGTTATTGAACACTTGGCATCGCAGAGAAGCGATTCGAGGGAAGAGAAAAGCTTGAACTTGAGAACCAGGTCCTGTAACTCGCGGTTGAACCCTTGGGAGACTCGGTCCCGGAACTGAGTCAATAAAGGTAACAACTCGTCCTCGTTGGGGATAGGTTCCCTTAAGGAGCATGAGAGAGTATGAAGTGTTTCGCGGTCGATCCAGGCTTGGATTTCGGACTCGATAGAGTTGGCGACTCGGGAGATGGAGTGAGTTGAGACTCGGCGAGTTAGGAAGGATCGGAGACCGTTGGAGTTAGAACGGTTGAGAGAGTCAACGAGGGTTTTGAGACGGTTGAGGTGGTTGGAGAGAGCTGTGTCCGTTGAGAGTATGGTGTGTAACTCTAGTAGAGCATTAACGGCTGGTGAGTTGGGCGAACCATGTTGTTCTTGTATGTCGTGAGATGCTTGCTTCAAAGCTTCAAGAACTTGCAGCAACACCACTTGTGGAATCTTCTCCGTTTCATCTTTTGAATTTGATGATTGTTTTTCCATTGTTGCCAATTGCACACTTTGTATTCTAACGAGTTAACCCTTCTCTTCTATATATATATATATATATATATATATATATATATATATGGGTTTTGTATCTATAATTTAACATGACCACAACAACTTTCCTACACACATAACATTTTGTGGGACCCACAATTTTTGAAACCAAAAAAAAAAAAAACTCTGGCACGCAAAACGAATCTCTATAACATAACACAATCATTTTTCCTACAACATAACTCTTATTAAACCCTATATATATATATATATATATATATATATATATATATATATATATATAACTATGTAAAATAGTTTAATATGTAAAGTTTCATTGGCAGATAGCCACACATCAAAGATCCAAAAGGCGAATAGAATGCTAAGTAAAACATAATAAGATCCAATGAGGTGAGACAAGTTTATGTGATACTACACATGGCGTTAGATGCATTCCATCTAAATATAATAAATGCTATTGGAGTGTGTCACACGCTAATACTATGGGACTAATGTAAGGTCACGTGACGCTAGCATAAGTCAAAAACATTTAGCTCGTGATATTTAATTTACACACCTAATTCCCAACTACTCATGTCGCACATTTTTATTTTAATTGTTATAACCGATAATAATTACCTCAAATTAGATCTTTTAATGTCTTTATAGGTTCGACTTGTCTATGAAATTAATTTGAAATTCGAGACCGTGATCTAAGATTACGGTATTTCTTATCCCTTTCTAATATGATATTTGATGGAAATCAAATTGTGATTGGGGTGTGCAGATCCCAAATCTAGAAAGAGAGAGGGATGAAAGAGTAAAAATTAAGATTATAAGAGATAATTATAAATCGTTAGATTTAATTCTAATCTAATGGTGATGAGATTGGTTGTAAGGATGATAAACTCACTCGGTGATAAGTATAAACATCCCCTATATATATATATATATATATATATATATATATATATATATATATATTGAGAAAATATTTGTCATTTTAAATGACACAATTTTTTTTCATTTTTAATGAAACTACGTTGTTTTTGTGTATTTTGTTATTTTCTTTTTTCATAAAATTAGAAAGAAAAATAAAATGGAGAAGATAAAATGTAAAAGCACACCAAAAGATGTAGTTTCATTAAAAATAATATAACTTTATATCATTTAAAATGAGAAGCACTTTACCCATATATATAATGACTAATTTTAGCTTTATTAATGTAAAAGAGTACGCTTATAAATTTTAATAAACTTTAGGACTTTTTATTTAGATTTGAAAAGTTCAATGTCACTAGATCACAATGACTCAAAATTTAGAGGGTATTTATACATTTTTTTCCTTAATAGCAATGATAAATTAAAGTATTAATGAGACCAAAAAATAAACATGTATTGTCCAAGACAATAAAATACTTAGTTCAAACTCATACACTATCATTTACTAACTATAGTTGCGATTTTCACGAAGTGGATAAAAACCTGCCTCAATCGAACCATTGATTTTACAAGGCTTAGTTGCGATTTCGAGTGCGAAGTCAAATTCGCCGTTATGACTTATGAGGACTAGGCAATATTAGTCACGCAGGAAGCACATGTGTCCATATATAAGGAAAAGGACGATAAGAATGACAGCAATTTAGTGAGTAAATGCAAGGCATGAGCATGGTTTGCTTGATTAAACCTAAGATCGAAACTCTGAACTTCCATACAAATAAGAAAAATAATTAGTAAATAAAGTGTAAGGCACACACAACACCCAACGAGTTAATTCATTCGATACATAATTAGTTTGTAATAGTTCTACGTTATCACTACTCTCTTTTTTTTTTTGGTCGTTGGTATAACATTAATTATCATTACTTTTAATACAACTATTTATAAGTATAAAATTTCACATTAGAGAATCCACTCCCAACCTATATTCTTTGCAATCAAGAGAAATTGTACCCGGTAGCCATTTTATGCATGGAAATGCGGAAATTACAATAATCTACCACAGCATTTTTTCTTTAAAATAATTATTTATTTCCTAAAGGATTAAATTATTTTAAATTAAGTATAAAATTAAAATTTATTAAAATTTTAAATTAAAATAATTAATTATTTTAAATTAAGTTTACTTTAAAATAGTTTTTTCTTATTATTTCCTAAAGGTTTGTCTCCATTTAATCTTTTTAAAATTGAAGATCGAAATATATTTATTTAAAATCCATAAATAAAATATATCTACTCTTAATTCAATAATAATATATCATAATTTTAATTCATTCAATAATTTAAAAAGATATATATCATTACTTACTCCTTATAATTATATACTAAAACAACAAGTTTAAGTTTAAGTTTGTTTGTTTTTGTTTTTTATAGAAGCTTGTTGTCGGCATTTGCATACTGCCCAAATGGATTAGTCACGGACTCGAAAATTTCTTCAGTGCCAAGTATGAACCGTATTTTCACTGCATCTTCAGTTTACAATATGATTATATGTGTAACACTGACCATTTTCGCAGGCCAAAAAAATTATTAGACTCTCACGTTAATAATAAATTTTCTCAGAATATCACGTGGAATAATTTGTTATACTGTGTAGCGAAATATGCTTGCAAATAATTCGTTACACAGTATCACGAATTATATCACGTCAGAATACACAGTCAGCAAAAATAACACGTATCAAGTACATATTAATTCGCTACCCTGTGTAGCATATTATGTTTGCGAATGATTTTTTGACACGTAACACACTTTCGTAAAAAAAAGCTGACGTGTCATAATTTGTTACTACTGGTAGCGAATTTGGTCTGCTATATGACCATGTGTCACGAAATTATTGGCCACGAAATTCGTACCAGTGGTAGCGAATTATGGCACGTGACCGTTTGGTAAAAAATACTGTTCGCCTGACATTTGTATAAAAAATTTGACAAAACGTGACATTTTGGTCACTGTTCCATTATATGTTTTATCTTTATCAAATATTAATAAATAATTTATTTTAAAATTAAATTAAATTTAAAATAAATTGATTTGATAAAAAATAAGATACATGCAACAGTATAAGTGAAAAATATACCAAAAATATAGTGAGATCATACATGCAACAGTATAATTTATTTTCCACGGACTCGGTCCGTAGTCTACTCCATTCTATGAGATCATACATGGCCATGATACTGTAGCTGATCTAGAAAATATTAAATTGAATATATAAATCTTAATATTACCACATTATATATATATATATATATATAGGGTTTTGTATCTATAATTTAACATGACCACAACAACTTTCCTACACACACAACATTTTGTGGGACCCACAATTTTTGAAAAAAAAAAACTCTGGCACGCAAAACGAATCTCTATAACATAACACAATCACTTTTCCTACAACATAACTCTTATTAAACCCATATAATATATATATATATATATATATATATATATATATATATAACCAAAATTACTACAAATTTTTTTAAGACTTACGGAACAAAAATAAAAATTATACTTATGACTTCTTACAATTATTTTTATTGTCATTGGCTCAAAATCAAATTAATAATTATTATTTGATGCCATTTTGTAACTGTTAATCTAATTTTGATTAATCAATAATAGAAATAATTGTAAGAGATTAGAACAGAAAAAAATTATAAATAAAATTTAAAAAAAAAAATAGGGAAAAATGTTTTGTAGAGTTTTTTTTATATTACACTAACATAAAAATAAGTAGATAAGAAAGAAAGAGAAAAGATTAATAAAATCCGTTCAATTTTATATAAATGTGAAAAATAATGTTTTTTCACCAAAAACACAAATATTAAACCCTTCACTCAATAAATAAATAATAATCCTCAAAACACACAAAGTTTAGGGCCATTCTTATATGTGACAGACAACGCGACAGACCACCTCAGAGAGTGTCCACCAATGGAATAGAGGCACGTGCACTGTCCCTGTTTTCATGTGAACCATTGGCTCTATATGCACCAACCTCATCTCTTATAATCGTCGCATCCATCCTTGATTACTTGGGTTGGCTTGGCTTGGCTCTTTCCCTTCTGCAAATGCTTCAAATCAAGGTAAGTTTCTCTCTCTCTCTCTCTCTCTCTCTCTCTCTCTCTCTCTGCGTATTTCGGAAACATTACTACGCCATAATGGAAGTCGATACTGTTAATTAATAGTCCACAACATGTTTCATTTCGATTAATTAATTAATGTTCGTTCTTTAATTATACTTATTGTGTTTTAAGGATGGAATATAGATTCAAGCTCAGCCATCTTTGTTTCTATCATAAATATGTCAATGCTAATGCTGTTGCCTGGTTCAGATTCATGTTATACTAAAAGATCTAGGAATTTAAGCCATTAAGTACCTTATCAAGTTTAATCACTTGGCTGTTTTATATAGCGATCATTGTGGATGGAGATATTGTGTGTTCAAAGTTCGAACCGGAATTAGGATTGGCTGTTTAATCACTTGTGCTACTTCTCCTTTTTGTTCCCCTATTTCATGATTGGCATTTCAATTGAATATGCTAGCTTATGTCATAATGATTTCTCATTGGACCTTATCTTCGGTGGATTCAAGTAATTGCTGACTCCTTTCATGGAGAAAGCAAAGCTAAACTGAGAGTGAGAGAGTATATGGGTAGAAGTAGAACAATAGAGATTTAAATTTCAAGTCAGCCCCCTCCCTCCTTTCTTTGGAATAAGTCATTTGGTTACGAATCACTTCAACATTTATAGTGTACTGTATTGTACAAAATGACATTCATTTGGATTCTTGACTGCAGATAGTTAGGACTCTGTAGGGTGATAAAGGCATCGCTCACGTCGCTGGATACAAAGATGCAGGCCTTGTTGCTTCATTTAGTTCTTGCTTCATTTGTCTTCTTGAGCTCTATCAGAGATGGGAGTGCAGGAATCACTAGTTCTTTCGTTCGGTCACTGTGGCCATCGGTTGACATCCCCCTTGATCATGAAGCATTTGCAGTTCCAAAGGGTTATAATGCACCTCAACAAGTAAGTCTTACAAAAATAACAAGGCTGATATTGTTATTATCTATCCCCTGATATTATTAGATGAAACTCTTATTAGGATTTCTAGGCCTCTGCACTCAAATTGGACATGTGAAGCAGTTTTAAATTCTAAAGTTATTCCTTTTATTTATTCATTGGTTATTTCTTCTCTCAAGAACCACACAGGACTATAAAATATTCACCAGCTCATCGAAGAACTTTTTGTCTTTTTGAATAAGCGAGACTCCTTATTATGCTAAAAGATTCATGTTGAGAAATACATATACACTAATGCAAGTATTGATGCCTATGGTTACAGGAAAACCATGGCAGTGGTAGAAATTTTATAGTTGAACTAAAAAAGAGATAGCTTACTTGACCATGACTTCACACCACATCATTTTGTTTAAAAGGGGCATAATATCAATGTTATAAGCATATGATTTAGTGCATTTATTATTTCCTCTGTAGGTGCATATCACGCAAGGTGACTATGATGGAAAAGCAGTAATCATCTCATGGGTGACCACAGATGAACCAGGGCCAAGCAAAGTGGAATTTGGCACATCAGAGAATAAATTTCAAGCTAGTGCAGAAGGCACATTTACAAACTACACTTTCTACAAATACAAGTCTGGTTACATTCATCATTGTCTTATTGAAGGCCTTGAGGTAATTGTTGATCAAAGTAGAGGGTAGAATTATCATCACTGGAATTTTATCTGCAATGTTAAAAGTAAAATACTACAATAAATTGAGAAGTGAAGTCTAATGCAGAACATGACGAATATTTTCATTTTTTCAAATGATCACACATGTATAATTCTCACCTTGCCATGTGTAGAAAACATGTTCATTTAGTTAGTTCAATGATTTCCCCATTTCAGTATAATACTAAATACTACTATAGAATTGGAAGTGGTGATTCTTCTCGAGAATTTTGGTTTGAAACACCTCCTAAAGTTGAGCCAGATGCTCCCTACAAATTTGGGATCATTGGTGAGTTGTCTGTTTTTCCAACAGGATTTCCTTTTGCTTTTATTTCTCATTTTTAATTTTTTGTTTCTCATAAATGAATAATTGTATGCACATTGCAGGTGATTTGGGCCAAACGTTTAATTCTCTTTCCACTGTTGAGCACTACATACAAAGTGGAGCACAGACTGTCTTATTTGTTGGAGATCTTTCCTACGCTGATAGGTACCAATACAATGATGTTGGTTTACGGTGGGATACATGGGGCCGATTTGTTGAAAGGAGTGCAGCATATCAGCCATGGATATGGTGTGCTGGAAATCACGAAATAGACTACATGCCCTACATGGTAGAGTACTAACCTGAGTCGCATGCATCTTGGTTATTCTTGTCTGCAATGAATCACTTATAGGATGAAAAAAGTCATTTTTTCCTGGACCAATAAAATAATAAACCACTACCATGGTTTCAGTTTTCCCATTTCTCTTTTTGGAATTTGAAGGTATGACAGGCAGGAACACTTTAAATTCTTCTTAACTATTATGTCTGAACTGTTTTATTCCGTTTCTTGTACTATGCATGATCATTGCCCAGTAACGTACTCGTTAGTTGTTACATAGCAAAGCTAAATTGATGTGTCATGCGACCAACAATCCCAAAAGCTTAAGTTGTTAAGTGAAGGTAGATGAATAGTTTTATATTCTATATTATATTTCTAGCATGCTCGTTTACTAAATATGACTTAGCTGACTGTCAGTTCCATCAAATAATTGTTTGGACAAGATATCTTCTGTATTCTGTTATATGCCGTCCTTTCTCTGTTTCTATAGTTTTGTACGATTCCTTTAAATTTTTGTTAGTAAGCAGGAAGCTTAAGATATCCCAAATTTCAAGTGACAAATAAATACGTTTTGTACTGAAAAAGCCATTTCCTATCATGTTGGTGTCTCCCAATTGATACCATATACTGAAGTAAATATTCATGATATTTGTTGTAAAACTTAGATGACCTTTGTAAGTTTCTTTCAGTTTAAGACTTCAATCTTCTACTGTTTTGAAAACTTCATAGTCTTTGCATTAAAGGTTATAAGGTTGGCTGTAATGGTCTTAAATAAATCTGCATGGTCAGGGAGAAGTTGTTCCTTTCAAGTCCTATCTTCACCGATATACTACTCCATATTTGGCCTCCAAAAGCAGCAGCCCCCTCTGGTATGCAATCAGGCGCGCGTCTGCTCATATAATTGTACTATCAAGCTATTCGCCATTTGGTAACTAATCTCCTCTTTATCTGCTTGTTAATCTTCCTTACGTGTTGATTGTCAGTTATATTCTATTACATAAGTTTAGGTTCATAGTGTTTCACAACCATAAAAAGCTTGTGCACACCCAAATTTTTATTTAGGAACCATAATCTTAATATCTTTATTTCTCCTTCACCGCAAAAGTTTCCTATTTATTTGTTGATCCCTAATAAAAAATCAATCCCCGTTAAACCCGACTAGCGTGTGTGAGGTGGAGGTAATTCTTGTACGCAACCTTATCCTTGCATAATTGCAAAGAGGCTGTTGATCACTAATAAGGAAACAGAAATGAAAAAAAAAATAGGGTATTGATATAAGCAAAAAGGAAACAGAAAAAAAATTGATAAAGAAAAGATATTTGCTTCTATACAGTAAGGCTCAAGTGCAAGTTTGTAGTTAGTTTGTCTATAAGAACGGTGGAGACCTACATTCTGAAGTTTTTTTTTTTTTTTTTGTTTACATTCTGAAGTTTCTAGGTCTTAAAGAATGGTATACATTGTTAGTGAGAGCTGTTTCTATTTCATTTGAAAAGTCACTGCCTATGCTTGTCAACTACCACGTTTTGTTGAAGTGTAATTAGTCTTCTTTTGAAAGTATTACTGCTTTATTGTATGATGCTTTTTCACACTTAACAGTAAAGTACACTCCTCAATGGAGGTGGCTCAAAGAAGAGCTGAAGCAAGTTGATAGGGAGAAGACACCTTGGCTCATTGTTCTCATGCACGTGCCGCTCTACAGCAGTAATGAAGCTCACTATATGGAGGGTGAAAGCATGCGATCAGTTTTTGAGAGCTGGTTCATCAAGTACAAAGTTGACGTGATTTTTGCTGGCCATGTCCATGCTTACGAAAGATCTGTATGGTTTTCTTTCTCTGCTAATTTTTTGTGTACTCGCACAAAACATACAATTTCATGTTATTTTGGAGTTACTAGCTTAGGCAATATGATTCTTTAGTCATGTGATCTCACAATGAATTCTTGTGTGTCGAATGTTTCTGTCCTACTTTCAGTATCGTTTCTCCAATATAGACTACAACATAACAAGCGGTAACCGGTATCCCATAGCTGACAAATCAGCACCAGTTTACATAACAGTCGGAGATGGAGGAAATCAAGAAGGTCTTGCTTCAAGGTAAATTAAGCAAATCACTTTGTCATGTATAGGTGGTTAATGTCGTTTAAAAAGGATTATCTAATAATAGAATTCATTATTATTATTATTATTATTATTATTTTGGGTTTCTATTTGATCCTTAATGAATATGATTCAATCATTGTAGGAGTTTAATGTCGTTTTAATTCTTTCCTTGCTCGTGCAGGTTCATGGATCCACAGCCAGAATACTCAGCATTTCGAGAAGCCAGCTATGGACACTCCACATTGGAGATAAAAAATAGGACACATGCTGTCTACCACTGGAATCGCAATGATGATGGCAAGAAAGTGCCAACTGACTCTTTCGTATTGCATAACCAATATTGGTAGGTTCACTTCCCCTTTTTTCTTTGCTTAGCTATCACAGTGGCAGGGAAAAATCTGTCACTGTCTTGCTGTTGTGATGAATTATAAGATTGAAAGTTGTCACTGCATTTGCACAACTGGTTAGTCACAGAATATTAGAATATAGACATTCTCCTCGACGTGTATTTTACTCAAGATAAAAATGGTAGAAGTTTAAAATCGTTATGGCCTACATTCCGGTATCAATTTTTAGGGTTGGTTTATGTGACATTTTTCTTCTTTGTACATATTGGGAAGGGTGTTTGGTATCCATAAGTTACAAATAAACCTCCACAGCTAAGTGAACCTTAGCCTATCTGCTATACAACAACAAAAATCTCTATTGGAGACTAGAAGTCTTAAACCCCAGAAGTTCAAAACTTGGAGCTTGTTAAGCACAAGAAAGCAAATAACTCTGCTGATAGGTTGCAGTAATCAGCACGCAATATATTTTGGTTGACAAGAATCAAGACAGTCATGTACTACATACAGCTTAGCATGTGCTACTGCTAAACAGTATATGCATTGATATCTACAAGTCATGCAGGTGTTTCAATGAATAGGGAACACCTTCTGCCATTATGTTACAATCTATAGTCCTAGTCCTAGATTTTTATTCGTTTTCTACTTACTTTGGAAAGAGAGAAATAAAACGGCTAGAGGCATGTAACCCTGTTAATAGTAGCCTGACAAATAATTGTTTGCACTTTGCATGAAGCCTTTGCCGTGAGTCTTGATTTATTAAGAGATATATAAATCAATGACGCAATTTCTTGATATGATGCTTGTTTTATATATATATATATATATATATATATATATATATTCATTCATTGAAAGGATAAAAGCTGACATGGTGGAATTCTGATAATGCAGGGGAAGCAATCGGAGAAGAAGAAAACTGAAGTATTTTCTATTGAGAGTTATTGATGAAGTGACCAACATTTAATGGGGAACTAGAAGCACTATGATATTTGACGTTGTGAAAAGAATAAAAATGTTCACCCTGAATTAATATATGCAGTTCAAAAGACTCTGACTGAGCGAAATGCAGGTAGTCAGAAATGGTTCTATGTATTTTGCTTGTATGCTTGTATTCCACAACGCTTGTAGCAGGAGAAAAATGATGAGACCAAGACAAACTTTTAAGTAGAAAGATGATCATGTTTCCAGTTCAATCTTTTTATATTGAGTGAATTACTGTTTTATTATTTGAAGAAAATTTGGAGATGAGGAAGAATGGAAAATGAACATGGCATTATAAGTTTCTAAGTAAGGCATCTACATTACAACAAAGTACATATAACTCAAAGAAATGCCATCATCTTTAGACTTTAGCGCAAGCAATGTACAATTGAAATCAACGATTAATTTGTTGACAGGACACTTGAATTTTGATTTTCTACCAAAATTACGCTCGCCAAGTTTAAGTTGATGGCGGTGTGCTAATAAAATTCACTTTAACTAACATTTGATGATTTTTGCCTTTCATACTGCTTATCATAAAATATAAAGAAATGACTATAAATGGGATATTACTACAGTTCGACTTGGTTTTATTGTATATCTAGAAATTTAAAAGTTTTATAACGAATTTTGACATTTTTAATGGGTGATACTAAAGTTTATCTTATCATATTTAGTTCATTAATATACTAAATATGCTTTTAAAACGAGTTTGAGCTATGTGAATGGAAAAAAAAGATTTAGGAGACTTGTTCCCTTTAATATGTCCGGCAAATGCTCGAACTGGATGTAATCCGAAGGATGAATCAGTTAAGAAACTAAAAATAAATAAAAAAATATGCTTTTAAAAAATTTAGAAATAGAAAATAGAGATGCGAAAGATCCAACAAAGGTTTTTAAATTTTTCAGTGTATGGTTAATGTTTTTGGATTCACTCCCCAGCAGAGCTATAGTAATATTGTTTTATTTAGATTTTACATCAAGTGGGTGAAGTATAACGAGTAATTCATGAAATACTGTACTCTGCAGAAGACGTTAATGTGCACATCCAACAGTGCAAACGGGGAAGACAAATTTTTAGAACATAAACTTGTGCATGTCATGATAATAGACATGGCCTCTAAATAAAATGTTCACATTTTTATCATGATATGCCATTGGAAATGGTCTTAGTGTTTTTGAATAAATAATAAAAATAAAGTAAACCCATAAAAATACACATAATGTAAGCGTCACACGGAATCATTGTTCTGCCTAACAACAAAAATGTTATATCGAAATTGTTCATTTTCTTTTTTAAATGTTTGTGAATGAGATAAGTAACAAAATAACTTGTTTTAAAATTCGTTCATCTTACAGGACTTAATCTCATGAAATTATATATCATTTCATCAATAATTTTATGAAAAATATTTACTAAGTTAATTACAACAAAATAACTACTTTCGACAAATTCTATAATCATATAAAACAATCACAAAACATAAACATTACTCCGATATTTTTTTAGGGGACGGATATAATACCCATTAAATATTTAATTGACTTCAGGTTATATTTAATAAAATTTTGAGTATTTATTATGAAATCAACATTCAATTGATAACTCATTTTAAGTGCCATATACCATAACTCGCCAGTAGTATATACAAGTCTCATTGTCTCAATTCGAAATTAGTTTCATGACCGACTCAAAAAGTTAAAACTTGTGAAAATACTTAAAAGGCCGACTCATTTCAAAAGGGTAATTAGGATCATTATACCAAAAAAAAACTTTAAAAGATATATTATTTTCAGTTCGACATTTTTTTTAGCGGTTGTCCCCATCTTTTTGCTAATACTATATCATAGCACACCTAACAGAACGGCAAATAATAAGTGAATCAAAAGCCCATGCCCTATAGCTTAACGATAAGTATCCAACCATGTGCTGATATCTTGACACCCCAGCAGCAATGATACATTAAATATTAATCAATAATGGGACAAAAAGATTGAAAATGATAATCAACAATAGAAATCTTTACATCTTTACCATGTTTGACGAGACAATTATGTACACTGATTACTGTTATTGCTATCAAGATACACGATACAACAAATCAATAAGGTATATGGTGTAGATATCCACAACTACATCCTCTACAAACTTATACATAGTGTCAGGAAGGTGTAAAGGAAAACTTAAGAATCACGGTATATTGGTTGCGGCATCCACTTGAGATGCAAATTCAAATAGCCAGATTTGGCACCATCTAGCTCAAAACGTTCTTTGTATTCACCCTCTAGTATGACCCTAGTAAGCGTCAATATACATCTGCCCATATAATCCTGCATAAGTTATGTAGAGAACTATTAGAAGGTACCAAAAATTATGAACTTAAGCAGCCCCCATGACTAAATGATAGATAGTTTATGAGTTTTATTCCTTTCCTTTCCTATCATAGGAGATAACTTGTCTCATGCTCTCTCATTTCGATTTTCGCACCTCCTCTTTTTTTTCTTTTTTTTTTCCTTGTAATGGTGGGATACATCCATCTTCTCTACAACATAAGATAGTTATCTCTTATGAAAGAGAGTAGTATTTCCCATAGTTTATTTGCCCTCATGTGCAGCATGTTTAAATATACTGTTGCTTTAACAATGTTTTGGTAACATCTATCCAAAAAGAAATTTTACAGTTTTTTTAAAAAAATTCAAACATAACAAGTTTGACATATCACACGGAGATACATAGAGGATACAATCGTTAATCTTGACAATCAATTCCACCAATCCATCTAGAACTCACCGTCACTGGTTTCACTAATTCAAGTGATAGTTAACTGCCCATAAATTGAAACATATAGATTTCTAACCTCCGTTTAACTGTTCCAATGCTCATAATATAAAATTGGCACTCCACATAATTTGTGTTTAAACTTCAGTGCCAATTAACTTAAATTCATCAAGACAATTAAGGGGGGGGAAAGGCAATTTTAGGAACTAGTTCAGCACAGCAAAAGTTCTTACCTTTCCAAATGTGTCATGGTCCCAAACTTCAACAATTAGCATATCATGTAATCCATCCTCGACAACAAAGTCAAATGTTTGATTCCAAACAGGATTCAAGCTGTCATTCACAACCTGAGAAATTAACAAACTTTCAGGGTCAAACAAGTTCGTAATATCTTCATTATTAAGCCACAAAATTGGAAAGTGATAACATACTTACAATGCACATTACAGACATCCTCCCCCAACCCACCCAAGAATAAAGAAAAAAGATCTTAAAAGAAATAATAAAGTTCATCAACAATAACAGTTTTAGGCTCATCTCTATGATTCTCAAAATGAATGCAAAGTAGGTTCTCGTTCCCTCAAAATCTTACCCTGGTTTTGTTTTTTGTTCCTGCTTTCTTCAAGGTAAGAACAACAAAAGGATCAGATTTCCCCATGAAATCTGTTACCGGCAAGTCTTCAGCAGATATCACAGTAACAGAAAGGACTCCTCTAATAATAACCTCCTTTCTCTTCTGTGTAATTGCATTTTCATTTCCATTAGAATCTATTGCATTCGTTGCATTTTTCATAACCTTTTCCAAGGATGTCATCGAGAAGTTGGGAGCAAATGGGTTTGTAGAGCTATTCTCCATGCCATAAGGACAGTACAAAAGCTCCAAATGTACCTAAGCAGAAAGAACAACATATATAACGTGTGATTTCACTTAATTATTAGGGAAAAATTGCTTCTTTTTTTCTTTTCAAAAGCTCTATCTGTAAAATTTTAATTATAAGTTATTTTGAACACAAAATAAACTAATCCAAACACACATATAATGGGAAAGCAAATATATTTATTATGTCAGACATACAATGGAAAATATTATATTAACTGTTTAGAAACTAAGGAATGAATATAAATTCATATTGAATAACACTTTTGAACCATGAAATATATATTTCTAATTGCATATGTTCATACTCCCATTTGCACACGAAGCAACCAGTTCATTTTTATATGACTTTTGTATACACCAATTGTTCAGTCTGATGACTGAACGGGAGATGTCCAGCCAATGGAGGCTGGTATTTTTATCTACAGAACGATGGCAAAGATATCTTATATGAGTAGGATCGGAACCTCCAACCAACAGTCTGATGGCAAAGCAGTGTGTATGTACACCTGAAAATGGAAACTGGCGCTCTGGATCACAATGTACGCTCTGTGCTTAGAGAGAAAGTAAGTGTGTTCCAATGCACTCTAACAACCTTTTTATAGAGGTACAAAGGCAGTTAGGAGAGTGTAGGAAGGTTCAGAGCTAGAATTCCGTAGGTGCTGATCGTGGGTATGGCGAGAGAAGAATGTGGGGGGAGGAACGACAACATAAGTTTGTCTCACCCCGTGGGCAAGATGAAGTAGGCAAACTCTGTTTTCTAATCTTGTGCTCTGTTTCTTGGTTCCTGTAAGGCATAATCCGGGGAATCATGCCTAGAACACCAATCAACACATCAATTTGTACATGGAGCACACAAGCCAATTTTTTCTTATATTCAATAGGAAGATGTTTAGACATTGTGACAATCCACGAAGGATAGGATGATGATGACTGAGTATACCTTACTTTTGTAAATATGAAAAGTATTTGTTGTAAATTTGAAAAGTATCTGTAATTATTTGTTTCCTTTATTAGCCATATTAGTATTTCTTTATTTTCTAGGATTTAGGTGTATTCCTTTAAGCTCATTAGTCTTGTTAAAGAATAATATAAACCATTAAAAAGACCCTTACCCAACACTTTAAGGTTTTGAGTTGAAATGGTTCTTTACATAGTATCAAAGCTTCAGTGACTACAAGGTCACGAGTTCGATCCTCACCGCCCACACTTTCTAGTGGAATTAAAATAAGCACAAGGTAAACCAAAAACAAAAAATTGGACATGTGTAATATCCACGCTTCAAGCCTAGAGGGCTCTTGCGTGAAGAGGTGTGTGAGATAATAATATAAACCATTAAAAAGGCTCTCACCCAACACCTTAAGGTTTTGGGTTGAAATGATTCTTTACAAATCTCTCTATATATTATAACCTTTTGGACAAGTTTTTACACAATAGCAATAATATTTCAGTTTTCTTTTCAAGTTGGTAGAAGAGCTTCGATCAAGGAGTCTCTTGCTTCCACAATCACCGCCTTTAGTGCAGATCGTTTTTGCGCCTCTAGTGTGCTCAGTTGCGGGTCCAATTGCCAAACCACATTTTTGGTATCTTCTATGTTTCACCACCATTGGAAAAAAAAAAATTCAGTGACCTCTTCGGCCCAAAGGATCATCATTCAACTCAAAACTGACCAATCTACCCATCAACGGTGGTATTGCAGCCAAAAAATTCCCCCACACCTTGTCATGCTCCATTTGAAGTTCGTCTAGATTTCAGATCTCTAGCAACCACCTTTTTCGGTCATTTTTCTAGTTGCACACAAAAGGGACAGGATTGTCTAGGCCAGATTGGCCCATCCCCAAAAGCAAGTCACCAGACTAAATTGGAATCTCGAGCCTTTAAGTGTGTCTACCTTGGTTATGCCCCCAACAAGAAGGGATACAAATATTACCATTCTTCGAGTCGTCAGTTGTTGCAAATATGTAATAAAGTTATAATATTGGTTCCTTAATTATTTAGGATTTTTTAGGATTTGGGTTTATTTCTTTAAGCCCATTAGTTTCTTTACATATATCATACTCCTTTGTAAATATACTCTTGAGAATCAATAAAATATGTTAGGAGCCACTCTTGCTTCTGCAATCACCGCCTTTAGTGCGGACCCTTTTTCTAACAAGCTTCGGTCTCCTCGCCGTCATTCAAAAAAATTTCCGAGGACTTTTTGGACCGAGAAGACCACATTTCATCTCAGAGTCTCCCAATCTACTGATCTACAACAGCTTTATGACCGGAAGAAGAACCGCACACCTCCAATTGCTTGTTCAAGCTTCAATCGAGTTTTCAGATTTTGTTCAAGCACTTTTCCAGCAGATTTTCATCTCCGACTACCCACAAATGGTGTCGCACTGTCCAAAGCAGCCACTTACTGGAAGCCCAATCAAAACGAAGCCCACATTCACCTACATGCATAGTCTACCACTCTACGCGTGGAGCCGTTGTTTGCCTTCAAACCATCGCGATTGTGGTCACCTAATCGTACTGAGTTTAGATTTGCCTTCACCTCCTTGATTAGACACTATTATGGTCATATGTGTTTGATGTCATTATAAAATCAGATTTTTTGGATTAATTCAGGCCTCCTCTGCTCAAATCTGACATTTTATCGTTGTTTGAGGATTGCCGGTGACTCAAGCAAGTTAGCACTTTAGTTTGTGGATCCTTATGGATACCTTTAGTAAGACCTCTTACTCTTGGTCTCGTGCTATGACTGGTAAGGACACATGTACTCAATCTTTTCTGGCTTCTGGCAATGATCTTGTAAGATTATGGATTGTTGACTCTAGTGCAACTAATCATATGACTCGTCAGCCTAATAACTTTCTCACTTATCAACCTACCACTAGCATCGTATTATAACTGTCATTGATAGATCTTATGTATTAGTTGCAGGCTCTGGTACCATTAAAGTCCAATCCTCCTTATATCTAAAAATGTTCTTCATGTTCCCAAACTCTCTCATTATCTTCTCTTCATTCACAAACTTACCACTGATTTCAATTGTACCATAACATTCTTTCCTACTCATTGTGTCATTTAGGATCTCACCACGGGGAGAATGATTTGAGTTGCAAAGGAAAAGGGTGGATTGTACTATCTCCTTCAAGAACATATTGCAAGTAGTGCCCGGGAATAGTTGCCAGTATCCATTTCAGAGTATATGATTTGACTTCATCACAAGCGTTCGGATCATCCACTTTCTCAAAACTCTGTTTCCGATCCTATTCAAGCACGTGTAAGTTAAATCACTTCATTGTGATGTCTGAGTTTACAAAACTCCATCATACATCATTTCCTTTTAGCTTCATAATAAGTGTCAAACCATTTGATCTTGTTCACTCTGATGTTTAAATACCACCTAAATTACATGATATCTCAGGTGCTAAGTGGTTTGTTTCATTCAATGTTAATTATACTCAAGTAACTTGGATTTTCCTAATGAATGACAAGTCGAACGTGCCACAGTTATTCATCCAATTCTATAACTTGGTTGAGACCTAATTTGGAAAAAATATTAAAAGACTGTGGACTGATAATAGTATTAAATACATCAACCAGCGACTCTCACAATTTATTCAGGAAAATGACATGAATGAGGTTACTGAGAGGGAAAAGATCACCTAAAGTGGCTAGAGCATTAATTTTCCAGACATCTGTTCCCTAACTCTTATTGCGGAGAAGCTGTGATGCCTACAATATATTTGATCAACTGGTTACCCTCTCGGATTCTTAGAAATGTAAGTCATGTTCACACTCATGACCTCTCACTTTCCATCTGTTCTTATTATGCAAAGCCTTCAATATCGCGTCTTTGGGTGTTGCATTTGTCCAAGTTCATAAAGAGCACCGCTATAAATTGGATGCTCGAGCTCTTAAGTATGTCTTCCTAGAATATGCCCCCAACAAAAAAAGGTACAAATGCTATCATCCTTTGAGTCACAAGTTTTTGGTCTCCATGGATGTCACATTTAATGAATCTGAGTCATTCTTTCCTCGTCCTTATCTTCAGGGGAAGACAAAATTAGAAGTTTCTCCATTTTCTTCAAGTTTGAGTCCTACTTACCTTTGCCCAAACTTCCAGAGTCTGACTCTATTGAATTTTCCTCGGTTACTACATTACATGATAATGAGCAGAAGACTTAGTTGATGAGGCTGTAAGTTCATTTTAATACTTCATCTGGCATGTCTCCCCTTAACAATATATAGAAGGCTAATTTACAGAAGGCTAGGACACCCAAATTATTGTATAAGAGGAAGAAACAACTCACACTGCTCCATCAACAACTGTAATCGCTTGAATCACTGGTAAGTACTGAATGCACTATTTCTATTCGCGAGTCTGATATTATAAAACCTGATGATCTACCTATTGCCTTAAGGAAAAGGAAAAGGTTCTTGTACCCAACACTCTCTCATTTTTGTCTCGTTTAAGAAACTTTCTGTGCAGCATAAAAGTTTTATTTCAATATTTGATTCCATCTCAATCTCGACATCAATGCACGAAGCATTAAAAGATGAGAATTGGGTTCCAGTCATGCATAACGGGATCAATGCCTTAAAGAAAAATAGATATGGGAAGTTGTTGATAGGTCAAGCGGAAAGAAAGCAGAGGGGTGCAAATGAATTTATACTCTGAAATATAATTCAGATGGTACTCTTGACAGGTATAAGGCTCGATTAGTAGCCAAGGGTTACACACAAACTTACGGCATTAATCATAAGGAAGCGTTTGCTCCAGTGGGCAAAATGAACATCGTGAGAATTATATTGTCCCTTGTCGCTCACTTTGATTGGGACTTGAACCAATTTGATTTGAAAAATATCTTTCTTAATGGTGAGTTAGAAGAAGAGGTTAACATGGGAATTCCCCAGGGATTTGACTCTACATTAGAGAAAATAAAGTCTATAGGTTGAAGCAATCCCCACGTGCTTGATTTGGAAGATTTAACGTCGTTATGGTGTCGGGAAGGTCGTTATTTTTCTTGTTTATGTTGATGATATTATTATCACAGGGGAAAATATAGTTGAAAAATGTGCCCTACAAGAGAAATTGACTACTGAATTTAAGTTAAAGATCTCGAGAAGCTGAGATATTTTCTTGACATAGAAGTAGTTCATTAAAAGGAAGGTATTTTTATCTGTCAGCGAAAATATGTCTTTGATCTCCTTAAAGGAGCAACAAAACTTGGTTGTAAATTGTCCAATACTCCTTTTGAGCAGAATCACAAACTGGGGAATAAAGAGGAGAATCCTTTAGTCGACAAAGGACAAACACATGCACGCAGTAGACAGGATTCTCCAATACCTTAAGTCCAATCCAAGCAGAGGATTGTTATTCCGAAGGGGAAAATCTATCCCAAGAAGTTTATACTGATGCTAATTATGTTAGGTCTATGACTAATCAACAATCTACTTCAGGTTATTGTATGTTTCTTCGTGGAAAACAAGTAACATGGAGGAGTAAAAAGCAAAATATGGTTGTTAAGTCGAGTGCAGAGGCAGAATTTCAAATAATGGCCCAAAGTATTTGTGAATTGTTATAGCTGAAAATCATTGTAGATGATCTCAAAGTGAAATATGTAGGACCTATGAAGTTACTTTCTAATAATAAGTCAACCATCTATATAGCACACAACCCAGTCCAACACGACCAAACAAAATATTGATATCAACCACCACTTCTTCAAAGAGAAACTAGAAGGGGGTTGATCACTACTCCATATATTCTTTCTGATCGTCAACTAGCTGATGTCTTGACCAAGGGACTTCTCATTGACAGATTTCAAAAACTTACTAGCAAGCTGAGAATTGATGGGGAGTGTTATAAATATGGAAAATATCTGTAATATTTGTTTCCTTTATTGGTTAGATTAGTGTTTCCTTATTTTTTAGGATTTGGGTTTATTCCTTTAGGCCCATTAATTTCTCTATATATATCGTACTCATTTGTACCTCCTAAGAATCAATAAAATATTTTGAGCTTTTTCTTCTTTCAAGTTAAGTTTTTTTGTCTCCATAGATTTTACCTTTAATGAATTTAAGTCCTTCTTCCCACGTCCTCTGCTTCAAAGAGGGAACAATACAAAAGCTTTGTCTGTGTTCTTTGAGTCAGAGTCTCTCTTTCCATTACCTATACCAGCACTAGTAGCTATATTACATGATAATGAAAAGGAAAACTAGTTGATAAGGCTGATAGTTCATCTGGTACTTCATGCGACATGCCCTCTGTCGATTTACAGAAGGTACGAAAAGCTGGGACACCTGAACTACTATATCAAGGAAGAAACAACTCACACTGCCCCACTAGCGCCTGCAATCATCTGAACCACCGGAAAATATTGAATGCACTATTCCTTCTAATCCTGAGCCTAATATTAATCCTGATGCCTTACTTATTGCTTTAAAGAAGGGGAAAAAGTCTTGTACCCAACTCCCTATCTCTATTTTGTCTCCTCTAGAAACCATTTTATTCAGCATAAAAGTTTTATTTCAGCAATTGATTTCACTTCAATCCCGACATCAATAAACGAAGCATTAAAAGATGATAATTGGATTCAAGTCAAGCATGACAAGATGAATACTTTGGAGAAGAATAAGCATGAAAAGTTGTCGAGAGGCCAAACAGAAAAAAAGCAATGGGGTGCAAATGGTTGACTCTGAAATATAATTATAATGGAACTCACGAGATGGCTCAATTAGTAACCAAGGGTTATACATAGACCTATGGCATTAATTACGAAGAATTTGCTTTGGTAGCCAAAATGAACATTGAAAAAGTCCTATTGTCCCTTGTTGCTCACTTAGATTAAGACTTGAACCAATATGATGTGAAGATGTCTTCCTCAATGGTGAGTTAGAAAAGAAAGTTTACATGGAGATCCCACTGGGATTTGACTCCACAAACGGAGATAATCTTAAACATTCCCAAGAGGTAAGCTTACTCTTCTTCTAGTTTATGTTGATGACATTATTATAACAGAGGATGATATAATTGAGAAATGTGCTATGCAAAAGAGACTAATTGCTGAATTTGAAGTTAAAAAACTTGGGAAATTGAGATATTTTCTTGAGATAGAGGTTGCCCATTCAAAGCAGAGAATCTTTAACTGTTAGCAAAAGTATGTTATTGATCTCCTTAAAGAAGCAAGAAAACTTGGGTGTAAATCTTCTAGTACTCTAACTGAGCAGAATCACAAATTGGGAAGTGAAAAGGAGACCCCTCTAATTGACAGAGGACAATATCAGCGGCTAGTGGGAAGATTGATATATCTGACTCATTAGACCTCATCTAGCTTATACAGTTAGCATTGTTAACTAGTTCATGCACAACTCAAGGGAAAAACACCTGAATGTAGTGGATAGGATTCTCCGGTATTTAAAAGCCACACCAAGTAGAGGACTGTTATTCCAGAGAGGGGGAATGCTACCCTTAGAAGTTTATACAGACGTCGATTATACTGGATCCATGAATGATCAACAGTCTATTTTGGGCTATTGTATGTTTCTTTGTGGAAACCTAGTAACATGGAGAAGTAAAAAGCAAAATGTGATTGCTAAGTCGAATGTAGAGGCAGAACTTCAAGTCATGGCTCAAGGTATTGGTGAACTATTATGGCTGAAAATTATTCTTGATGATCTCAAGGTGAGATGTGAAGAATCTATAAAGTTGCTTTATGATAACAAGTTAGTCATCTATATAACACACAATCCTATTCAACACGACGGAACAAAACATATTGAGATCGACCGCCACTTTATCGAAGAGAAATTAGATAGCAGACTGATTACTACTCCATATATTTTGTTTGGTCATTAACTAGATGATGTCTTGACCAAGGGACTTCCCACTGACAAATTTCAAGAACATACTAGCAAACTGGTAATATAATTATTTATTTCTTTTGTTAGTCAAATTAGTATTTCCTTATTTTCTAGGATTTGGGTTTATTCCTTTAAACCCATTAGTCTTTATAATAGTATAACCTTTTGTACATGTTTTTACACAATAGCAATAATATTTCAGGTTTCTTTTCAAGTCTTACCCATGGAGAAAGGAAGTCAAAATAAAAAGAACCTGCAAGTTGAGGCCCTTAGAATGGACCTAATGGGTTTTCTAACATTTAGCTCCCTTGTATATCATAAAAGTAAAGAGAAAGGGGTTTAAATCAATATTTGCTAACTGGCTGATACTTAAGCGTTTCAAAACCAATTGGGACCCCTAATTTCAGAAAGCAGCGGAAATAGGAGATAAATGATAAACTAGAGTATCAAGTTCAGCTTTATATAGAACTAGGAATGCTGCTAAATGGATTGCATTCTGCCCACTCTTACCCATTTTCAAAAAATACAGGACAGCTAAGTATTGTAGTGGGGGTTAAAAAGGTAACTCCAAAGTAACAGAAAACTTCTCAAGCAAACCAAGAACCTTGTAACTATCATTAAATTTGATCTAGCATGACATACATATAAGAGAGGATTTCTCACCTGCCCTCTGTTCTTGTTATCTCTTTGGATCTCCAAATCCTTGACCAGCTTCAACCACAAATCTTTTACTTTACCAGGCTGAAGTTCACTAAGCCGTACGTCAGCACATCCAATCAATTCAGATGACCCTAAACCCTCAGCGTCATACACTTTAACATATAAGTGCTGGGTGGACACATCTTCCACAATAAATTCAAAGTGTTCATTCCAAATTGGATTCAAATCATTGTTCTGGACGGAGAAAACAAAATTAGAGTTATTTCTTCCAGAATTGAGAACCAATAAAGGCTTGAGAAAGAGAGACAGAGGAAAAGGACACAACGTACAATTGTCTTGCTTTTTTTAGTTCTCTCGCGTAAAGGCCGTATGTATACTACAGCATATGGATCAGATTTCCCAATGATATCCTTGTTTGTTAATTCCTTTGCTTGCACAAGCTTTACTTCTAATATCCCCTCAGGCTTCAACTCCAGATCACTGAACAAGAAATACAGTAAGGTTCAAAATGGCAAATCTGTGATTTAACCAGGTCATATCATAGTGAAAGTAATTTCATGATCAATAAATTGTTAAAATATTTAGAAAATATCTCATGCTATCATCATTGATTCTTAAAAATAAATAGAGCATCTTATAAGGTCTCTTAGGAGTGGTTTCCGAGTTTCATTATATTCCTCGATTTTCAAGTTCAATTTAATATTATTATTTTGAGTATTCTTCTTCCTGCCTCTATACCTAAACCCTCTAATTTCAACATAAGCCGACCAGAAAAAGAAGTTATCCTATGATTGATACACCCATGTCAATTGGCGTTGCCAAATCAGTCGATCAACAGGTTTAGACATGGAGACCAGACATAAAGCAACTTGGAGATACATATTTCCAAAGGCCACCTTAAGTCTAGCATCTACCATGTTTCTCAGGGTTATGGCTCACTGTTCCATAGATGATAATTAGGTAGAACCATATTTTGTATCATGGAACTAGTTGCAGAATCTCATTCATTATTCATTGTTGAGATATATAAAACCATTAATGTAGCCTCACCCAAAGACAGACATTACTTATATAATTATATAATTATCATATTATCATATTATCTTTCAATGATTCCAATTCCTCTAAAATAAGAAAACAGTTATGGATTTTTAAATAGAAACTAAAAAGAAAAAATTACTGAACTTCAAGAGAAACATCAAAGTCTACCCAAAAAAACCCAAGAACTTAAAGGCTGGCAATAACAAAAAGGAAACAACAATGATAAAATTGAAGTGCACTTCAGTGATCCTTCTTATATAATTCATCAGTTGTTACCTGTAATCTCCAGGCAAGATGGGTACAACTTTTCTCACAGGCCATGTAATAGAATCTTCAACAGCATCCCGAATAGCTCCCTGTAATAATTTACTAGACCTAGTTATTATAAAGTATCTGGATTTTAGATACCAGCTAATTATTTAATAGGAAGAAAACAAGAAGGAATAGAAGTAAATGAAAGAATAATAATATCAGCTAACTATTCTGTTCATAAAAAAACACAATTGTGTATAATATGAACCCTATAAAGGAAAAACATTGCACTAAGGAATATAGATACCTCTAGCAGACACCAAAAGTAACAGAGGTACATGCAAACACATAAAAATGACATAATAATCACTGTTACTTGTTTTTTTTATATGTCAAGCCAATTACATTAAACATTCCTCCAATTAACAACTTATTGGTTATATAGACATTTAAAAGCACATTTTCAAGAGACTTCAAATGTAAGGTATAAATAGAATAACGAAAAAAATACACGAGTATAAACTTAAAAGGTCGCAAGTATATACACAAGTTTGCTGCACCAGATTTTCATACTTAAAACTCGAAAAATGAACATATGCATGTGTGCTACAAAATGAAGAGATGGAGAAAGTGGAATGGAAGGAAAAGTGATGGAGAGGAAATGAGATGCAGTTATAAAATATATTTGTTTTAAATTTCAAATTCACGTTTATAATTTTAAATCTCATTAGTTTATTAAAAAAGTTAATACATAAGGAACTTTTTGACAAAAAAGTGAAGATGAAAATCTACCTTCTGTATGTTTTTTGAGTAAAGCTAAACCTCAGTATCAGAGGTTCACTTGAGAACTATTGACTTTTCTCTAAACAAGGCAAAATGAATACAGAGATAATGGCATTTCTTTTAAAAGAATAGTGAAAACCAATTTCTATTAAATTTCAATAAATAGCAAATCAGAAAAATAAAATAATATGAAACAAAGAATCTCCTTGAGCTGATATAATTCATTCTTTAATCAACATTGGTGTATATGAGAGTCATAACATTTTTAATGATAAAAGGATGACCTAAACACAATATCTGCTTGGAAGAAAACAATTTCAATTTTCTGCATCAATGATGAAAAGGACTTCAAATAACATCATATGGTTATGATGATTAACATGACATTCGCCGTCAAGAGATATGTTAAGATACAATAAAAGAGCCATGAAAAGCTACAAAAGGGTATTATTAACAGAAAATGAGTGATCCAAACCTCAATTGCATCATACAATCCAGGGATTGCAGATATGTCGCCGCCAATGACTTTTAGTGTAAAATCCAACTTTTTCTGAAAGTTAAAATTTTCTGAAATGATTAAATATATTATAAAAACACAGGTATCAAACACTTCTCTCAATGTACATATGTTTACAATAATAGACTATGTTTGATACAAAAGGCAAAAGGCAAAAGTCAGAAGTGGTTGGTACAAAATTCAAAAGTGACTCAACCAACTTTTGAATAATTAAACAATTAGCAATAATAATACCTAAACTTTACAGACAATAATCCGATGATTTCAGGAGTCAATCAAATCCCTTAATCTATGGGATTTTAATTTCTGATTTCATCGCTATCTCTCAAGCTACTGCATAGATGTCAATCATTCCCAGCTTGCTAATATTCAAATAAAATTCTGACTTCAACAAGGCTTTTGTAAACATATCAACTTCTTGTGACTTGGTTGACACACAATGTAGGCTGAAAGTTCCATTTTCAATTTCTGACTTGATGAAATTTCTGTCAATCCTCACATGCTTATCCTGTCGTGTTGAATAGGACTACGGACTATGCTAATGATGACTTGTTATCACTGTACATTTTCATAGGACCTTTAAGTGGAATAAATAGGCCTTGTAATAAGGGTACTTATCCAAAAAAGTTTACAAATTCCTTGAGCAAATGCCCTATATTCTGCCTCAGCAGAGCACTACTTGCAACAACAATTTGTTTATTGCTTCTCCAAGTCACTACATTTCCCGACACTTGTGTGCAAGACACAGTGGTTGGTTTTGTGTCTTCTATTGAGCCTAACTAATCTGCATCTGCATCATTCAATCTCTCGGTGACTATCTTTCAGGAACAATTGTCCTTTGACAAAAGTCCCTTTTAGGTAGCAAAGGATTTGGTTTACAGCATCTAAGTGTTTTGTATTAGGAGATTGCATAACAGCCTCACCATACTAGCACTGTAAGTAATATAAGGTCTAGTGAGGGATAGTTAGATCAAATTCCCTACTAAGTTCTGGTAGGATTCCCTCGCCACAGGAGGATCTTCTTCATCAATGTTCTGTTTCCAACTTCTGTTTGCAGGAGTTCCAGTAGCCTTGCACCCAATTTTTCCAGTTCCCTTTAGAAAATCAAGACTATATTTCCTTTGGGAAAAAATGCCTTTCTCGCTTCTTGCTATTTCCATCCCAAGAAAGTATTTTAAGTGTCCAAGGTATTTTACCTTAATCTGCCTGAAGCTGATTTTTAAGCCTTTTAATCCCTTGAGTGTCATCTCCAGAAATCATTATATTATCTATGCAGACAATAAGTGCTAACTTCTTCCTATTTTCAAGTTGTTTAACAAAGAGGGCAGGAACTGTCTGTCCTTGTGTGTACCCAAACTGTTTCATAGCCAAGCTAAATTTGGTGAACCAAGCTCTAGGAGACTGTTTTAGTCCACATAAAGGTTTTCGAAACCTGATTATTTTTCTTTAAAGCCTACAGAAATAATCCTATGATTTCAGGAGTCAATCAAATCTTTAAACCTTGGGATTTTAATTTCTGATTCATTATATTACATGTGTACATGAGCTTAATGTTTTTGTATACAGACAAGTGTTTCTTGCATGCATAAAGAATGTGTGTTGCACGTGGTCAACGTGCATGTACCCTATTAGACCACATTGAAAGAGAAATATGCCAGCAGAGAGCCTTTTTCCATGACTAGTACAGTAACCACCAAGTAAAAAGGCAACAACAGTACTGTTGCATGAAGACTCACCCATTATGCAAGAAAATTAAATACAAAAATAAATCAATTGTTTTAATAAATTAATTGGCTAGATCTTGCAAAACATATAACCTAAGTTTAGCTTAATTAAAAATAAACCTCAATAGGGTTTTTGTCCCCATTGAACCACAAAAAAAAATTCACTGAAAGCCTCGTACTAATGTAGGTGCAATGAAACAGGTGGGAAATGAATGGATTTAAGAAGAAAAACCATACCTTCTGCCTTAATGAATAGCTAACAGCTCCAAAGCCAGGAAATTCGTCAACTAGCGGCTTAAAAATCAACCTGAAAACTCCTGTAAATCCTATATTTTTTACCTGAACAGAGAGAGTATAAGAACACAAAATCAACCATAATCTTTCAAGGAATAATCCTTCCCAAGTTAATATACGTTACTTGTGCGCAAATGACTGATGTCTAACAATCAGAAAGCTTGTAGTCACAAACATTCCTATTATGTTTTATGCATGTTAACAATCATGACAAAGTTAGGAGGAGGATAATCTTCCTACACCCAATCAAATGGTGTTTGTCACGCAACCAACTTTTCCAAATGCTTGATCCGTTGGGTGAAGGAGCATGAATTGTTTTATTATATCCCTTAACACACACCCTCATAGAAGAACCTTTTGGGCTTTAAAGAATGGATAAGGCATAGGCCTTTTTTTTTAGGTTTACCATCTGCTGAAATTTAACTTTTATTAAAAGAATGGGGGTGGCAATGATTGAACTCTAGACCTCTTAGTCATAGGCTCTGATACCAAGTCATGCAACCAACTCTACCAAAAGCTCAAACTGTTGGGTAAAAGCACAAAATGGTTTTATTATATCTCTTAACAGTGTTCCATCTTCGTATCCATGGGATTCCATTAATGTAACATAAAAGAACCATTATGTCTAAGATTGCATTCAGTTTCAGAGCAAAATGGATTAGATCTCCGATTAAATTGGAAGAATTTGGGTCTTACAATAGTTTGATTGAGTGAAAAGAAAAGACATGATATGGCATGTAGCCTTCAAAGATAAGAACAGGGAGAAAATTAATGTGATAACCTAAGCAACTGGACCAATTGAAGGCATCTAACCAGCTACTGGTAATAACTAGTAACCAAACATGCAGTGGCAGAAAATAAGTTGAGAGAAGTACCTGCACTGGAAGTGCAACACCAAGCAGTGTTTTAATATCAAGTACAATACTTGGATTCCCATCCCACTGCAATTCTAACTCCATTGTCACACCATCCCCTTCATCTTCAATTATAGAAACTCCTAAAGAAGAACATCAACAAATTAGAAGGTCCAAGAAATGCATGACATCGATTAGCTTAAGCTTTAGGTAGAGATCTTTAAAAAGTAAGATGTGTAAAATGATAACATGGTGACATAAAATACATAAACCATAGCAAATATGAGAAACAACCTTACCCCACACACTAGTAACCACTTTAGCAAATATTTTGCATAAGCTCACTTTGTTAAGCTAGAAGCCAGGCATCAACGAATAATCACATTTACAATCTTATCATGATTCAATTCAACTAAACATGATATGAGTTTTAGGACACATCGGAAGCTAAAAGGTCATGGATTCAAGTCCAGGAAACAACCTCTTTGAAAAAATACAAGGAAAAGACTGCATACAAGAATTTCCTCAATCCCTAACAGAGGGTTTCATGGGGAGCTCTTTTTGGAAAATAGGGAATGGGTAAAACTTAAGCGCAATGGAAAAGTTGTGATTAACACCCCTTGTTGCTTGGTCTTAGGTGGAAACTAGAAAATCGTTTTAACACAATAGAAGCAGAGACCAAAACTTGTGGTGTTGAAGTAAAACTAGTTTACCTCCACTTTCAAATTATGTTTGAAATATTATATAAATCCAATACATGTCCCTTATCCTTATCCACTGTAAAGAACCAATTCAACCCAAAAATTTAAGTTGTTGAGTGAGGCTACATTAATGGTTTTATATATCTCTAACATCCACATTTTCGTTTTACCAAGCATATGTATGATAATATTCATACCCCAATTTTCCACCTGCTTGATTTCAGCTACACCCAGCACACTAAAAACCAGTTCCCCTACTGTCCAAACGCAGTGAACGTAAACAAAGAAGGGAAAATTGAAGCAAACCAGCAGTGGGCCGTTGACAAATACTACTAAATATGTACTGTCTAAGTTTTTTTTAATTAAAAAAAAATGCAAGATGATAACAGTCACTAATTGCACTAAAGAAAGAGCCGATTGGCAAAAATTCAAAGTAATTGGATTGAATGAATTGAACTAACCTGTAAACTGTGGTGCTACAGTACCAAGAGTAAACTTGGAAAACTTGAGAGAAGCCAAAACCATGGGTCTGTATTCTTCAAGAATCGGTTCCGCCGATGTTTTTATGAGCTCAGAAGCAGCCTAACAAAACCGATGCAGGAAGAAATCAATAACAACGGCGAAAGCCACGACCATAATAGTAAACCAACAGTAGACAGTTACCTCATTAACATAAGGCCAGATCTTAGTAAGATGCGAGTTAAGCCAAGTTAACTGAAAACATGAAAATGAGAGCATTGAAGAAGAAGAAGAAGAAAAAAAGAGGGTTAGTTAATTAGTTAGTTAAGATAAGGAAGCTCAACTTCTGCCTAGTAGAGAAGACGACCCAAGAAGGATAGAACTGAGGTGGCAAGATCTTTCTAGAATCTTCGACGCTCATCCTTGCAAAAGCTGCAACGGTGTTGGCAAGCTGAGATCGTTGGCTAGACCTCGAATTCTCATGGCGAACGAACCCAACAATGATGGCTAACCCCACAACTATTCCAACCACAACCCCAAATATGAAACCCATCCTTCTTCTTCTCCTTTTTCCCCCCTTTCTCCTTCTCTGCAGTTATAAGAGACCAGAGAGAATAGACAGAAAGAAGTTTGATCCTCGTGAGAAGCGTGTGACGCTCTGGCGTTGCTTTCAGAGCTCAACAAGAATCCAAAGCGTTACTTGAGACCGTCAAAATTACATTACAGTGGTGATTATTTGGAAGTTGATTTGGTTGTTACTTATTTATAACTTATTGTAACTAACTAGATTTTTCTAATGTCCGTAAGTCACAAAGTCACAAAATATTGAATTGCTTGATTTACTCTCACATGGTTTTAGCCGTCCCACCAATCAAATATTGCCATGTCACTCCATTTTTATTTTATTCGGGAGTGGATCCTCTCATGTGTTAATTAACATGACCATGTCATGTGGGGTAATCATAACCATACATGGGTGAATTAATGGTGATAAGGAAAGAGAAAAAAAAATATAAGAATAGAAAGTTACACATCACCGTTGATTTAATTATTAATAGTTAAAATCCTTCCACATGATATGATCATGTTAAATTACAGATCCATTTTCATTTTATTTTGCTTTTTTTTTTTCGGATAAGGTGGCTTTGAAGATTATTATTATTGAGTCTTACATGTTTCGTTTGATTTGACAAAAAAAATCTAACCATACTTTGAGTTTATAAATAAAGACCTTGACAAAAAGGACGGAAAATTTAATGAGGTGTATGATAATGGCATAGGGTTTGAGGCATAGAATGATGTAACGAAATACTAAAATGGAGTTTACATTCTTCTTCACATTATTTTTCCTTTGTTTTTTGTGGATTAGATTCTGATATATGGATAAGTATGGCTATTATTTCCACCTACCACCGAATTCAGACGGAAAAATTAAAAATTATGATTTTGTTATTTGACCGGTTCAGTTGTGAGAGGAAATTATTTAAATTAGTAACAGGTAAGGTAAGAAAGTATCGTGTAGTTAATGTTATAACAATTACAACACAACAATGTTTTCGGAGAAACGTAGGAAATTAGTCATATATAGTTAGAAGCATATGATTTTTCATCTACTGAGTTTATTTTGACACCGACACTTGTGCCGCGCTGGTGGTGGCTTCCCCCTTGTATTTGAAGAAACCTACAAAACGACAGCCCTCATCATTTCTTTCTTTTTTTTTTTTTTTGGTAAACCCTCATTATTTCTAATTACCGACACTTGCTATACTTTTCCCGAATTAGTCTTTTTTTAATAGTTATTGATATAATAAAAAAGAAAAGTGTTTATCCTTTTAAATGACATAACTTATATTGTTTCACTCTTGTAAAGAAGTGGGACCCACATCTTTATTTTTTTTTGTCAATTTTCTCTCTTCCTTTATCTATCTCTTTCTCTCTCTTAAAATGATACAATTTTATATACTTTAAAATGACACATATTTTTTCCATAATAAAATTATTCATGAATTTTTATTTAACAACTTAAAATTTTAAAATAATTGATACTTAACATGATATTAATCAAGTAATCATGAGTTAATCTTAAGAAAATTGGGTATTAAAGTCAATACAGAAGGCGTTTGGTAGAGGAAAAAAAATTATCAAAAAATTACAATTACTGAAAATATGGTGGAAAAATGAGTTTTCTAAGAAAATTAAAAAAAAAATATTTGATAAGTCAAAATATTATCGAAAAAATTACTTTAAATTTCTCGAGGCTATGTTTGATTGAAAATAAAATATTACTGAAAAAATGAGGTGAAATTATGAAAGTAACCCTTGCTTAAAGAGTAATTTTTTGTAAACTTTCTATAAAGCTAGAAAAAATAAATTGGAAAAAAAAAAAACAAATGTAGCTTTCCCATACAAATCAGAATAAGTGATGATTTGCTCTCAATTTTAACACAATGTCATTTTCTCGTACAAATTAGAATCCTGGACAAATGTTTTCAAAATTCCTACCAAACGCAATTTTCTTGCTTAGCTGTTCGTGTGGATTTTTTAGATTTTTTCAGCATATAATTTTGTATCGAAAGAGGATCATAAAAATTATATGTTGAAAAATAAATTCTTTTTGTGACTTTCAAAATATGCTAGATAGCCCAGGCAAAGATGTAAGTTCCAATAATAAATGCATAAGAGAGAGAGATTTCAGGTTGCATCCATAATCGGGCTCTTTCACCCATTGAGGTTTTTTGTGATTTTCATTTATCAATTTGGTATTTGGTTCAAGGTATTTATGAATTGGGGTCATTTAGTGACGCGAGGGGGACCCAGCGTCTCTGAGTGCCGCTACCATCCCCTCACGTCACTCTCACTTTTTTTTTTTTTTTTTACTTTTTCCTATTGAGTGCCGCCCCCCTCCCTTGGGGCACTCACAGAATTGTGCCAAGTGGCACAATCTGGTTACTCCTATTACCGTAAAACTTCGGAAAGCCATAACTTTTGACTCGGGTATCCAAATTAGATGATTTTTTTTTTGATTTCACATAATTTTTCGAGATCTACGCAATGACATCTCAATTGACATATTTTATCTCTCACAAACATAATTCAAATCTGTAAAAAAGTGTAATTAGTGTTACAAATTTGAACTATATTAATAGAAGATAAAATATGTCAAATGAGATGTCATTGCGTAGATCTCGAAAAGTTATGTGAAATAAAAAAAAAATCATCTAATTTGGATACCCGAATCAAAAGTTATGGCTTTCCGAAGTTTTACGGTAATAGGAGTAACCAGATTGTGCCACTTGGCACAATTCTGTGAGTGCCCCAGGGGAGAGGGGGCGGCACTCAATAGAAAAAAGTAAAAAATAAAATAAAAAAAGTGAGAGTGACGCGAGGGGATGATAGCGGCACTCAGTGACGCTGGGTCCCCTCGCGTCACTAAATGATCCTTATTCGTTAATAGCTTTAACCTAATACCAAATTGATAAATTAAAGAAATAAACACCCTGGTGGGTGAAAGAGCCTCCATAATCGCTCAACAACCCTTCAATGAGGGGAATTCATGAAGAGATCTAGGAAGTCTGCATAGTGATGCACGTCAAACTAATACACGAAAGTAACATTGACATCCCATATGCAGAGCAGTTTTCCAGGATAAGTTGAATTGTCTCTTGTAATTGGATTATAATCGTACAAACATAAAAATAAATATAATTATTGGATTAATATAATTAATCTAACGGTGAAATTGATTGGTAATAATATTGATAGTAATCCTAATTAGTTGTTATAATATCCTATCCCATTAAATAATTATATAAATCTTATGTAGCATTAGTAGTAGGAAAAATATTTGCCCTTTTAAATTACATAACTTGTGTCATTTTATTCTCACAAAGAATTGAGACCCACACTTTTTTTTTTATTTTTATCCACTCTCTGTGCTCTATAATCTATCTTTTTCTCTCACTTAAAATAACACAACTTTACATACTTTAAAATGATACACATTGTTATCAAAAAAAAAAAAAAAATGATACACATTTTTCCTTAATGGTAATGTACTTATTTTCAATTAATTTAATTTACAAAATATATGAACAAATTGGAATTCCCATTTTATTATATCATCATTATTTTTAGACAAATCATGCTGGATGAAAATTAAACATGCCCAAGGTAAGTTGTGGTTATTGTGATATTGGGAACGGAAAAAAAATAAATGTGTGTTATTTTAAATGATATATCTTATATTTTTTTATTCTCACAATGAAGTAAGATTCACATTTTTTAAAAAAAATTCTCTCACTCTCTGTTTTATGATTTATCTTTTTTTATTTATTTAAAATAACATAATTTTATGTCATTTAATATGATACATAATTATTCATTGAGAACGTGAGATCAACCACTACGACATATGACTAGCAGCTACAGAATATAAGGCTTATGAGTAATTATGAGATCGATTTTAGATTTAGGCCGTGATGGTTGCATACATGATTATCTCCCATATATCTATCTTATATAAACGTGACTTAGAAAAATATTATTGGTAATCCTAATTTATTTAACAACTCATTAATATATATATATAGTGACAAATCCAAAAAATATTATTTATGTCTCCATATTTAATAATGATGGTTCGGCAACGCCTTTGAAATTCTTTTTTTAAGGAAAATTTTAAATAGATTAAAAAACAAAATAATATAAATAAAAAAGAAGAAGGAAAATTCAACTTAGTATAAACAAATAGTAATCAAGAGTCAACTAAGAGAAATTAACAATAAGATAACCCATTGTTTAAGGGAAATGAATTAAGAAAATTAATTACTTTCAAGATAATAGATTATATTTAATATATATATATATATTAGATTAATATTTCTCCCAAAAATAAATTCATCTATCGTAACTTTTAAATGATATTATTTTAGAATTATAAGAGATAAATTTATTTTATATTGCAGGAGTAATGACAATTATATATATATAAAAGAGTGAATTATCAATATCAAAGTAATTACAAAATTAATTTATTATTTATTATTTTTATGATATATTTCACTTTATTATATTTTTTCACTAGAAAATCCATCTGAAATATTTTTTATTGTTAAAAGAGTGAAATATTTTTTATTTTTAGAGTGGAAGGACTTATCCTTGTGAATTTCATATGATTTTTTTTTTTTTTTGGGTAAACATCATATGGCTCCTTTGTTCCTCCGTGGATCTTGAAAAGGACAGGGTGAAAAATACAAAAAAAGAGAGCATAAAAAACATTAATAATAATCAAATACTTGTATCACGATTCACCTCTTCACCGTCGTCTAGCAACTGTGTTGATTACAAAGCACCACCAAAATAAAAAACTTCTAGACGGGGGAATCGTGAGTAAGTTTTAAGTATAGTAAAACTTGTGAATATCAAATGATAATAATAGCTCATGTGGAAGTTGAGTAGATAGGAGTGAAAGATGTATTTAATTCTCTCCAATATTATTTTAGAGAAAAAATTAAAGTATAGTTCTGCCTCAAATAAAATTGTTTTCATAAAAATACATGTAATTTTTTCAAATAAAAAAAAAACTTTCAAAAAAACATTTTTTTCAATCACCCTGAAAGTTTAAATATTCATATTAAACATCTCACATTTAAATATATTTAAAAAAACAAAAAAAACAAGGGCACAAGTTGAATACCCTGGTGCAATTATTGTATTACGGTACTGTGCTCAATTATTTATGTCATGAGTATGACAAGTACTTCATTGCCAACACTCATTTGAATTGCCTGTGTGAAGGAAGCTTCCTGCGTGTAAATGTTGTTTGGTTGGTGGTAGCGACATTGACAATCCCCTGGGTGTTGCAGACTAGATTTGTCCAGGATCGAGTGTTGGATGCTATTGGAAAGTGAACAGTATTATTTACTCATATTTAATATGAGGATTGTTAATAAAATTTGAAAAAATCTGTTTCCAAAAAAAAAACGAATTTTGAAATTTTAAACCAAAATATTATCCAAGAATATCACAGGATTCTTATGATATGAGAAAATTTTATACAATTTTTTTTTTAATATTTTGACCTATTAAATAATTTTTTGATAACATTTTCAAAAAAATTATTTTCCTAATATATTTTTTCGTAAAAAAAAAAAGTTTCACTATCAAATTCCCCCTAAAAATGAAAAAGGAAAGTGATAGATAAACTCGAAAACCTTCACAGCACATTGAACAAGTTATTCATCAATTTACCCGTGCATCCAGTATTTGTCATGAAAATGATAAAAAAATTCTTTCATTGACTCGTTACAAGCATGCAGATAGAATTTAAGTTCTACATAAGCCACTCAACGTAAATTTTATTAGGATCCCTTGAATTCAGAAAGAAGTGGATATATCATATTCATATATCATATATGTATAAAAAAAATCAAATATATATATATATTTAATGTGTGAGTCCTTTATTTATTTAGTTATTTTATTCAACTTGATCTTCATCCCATTTTGCGGGCCAGTGATGATGATTATTTCTACAGAGGGTAATGATAATCAATTTCAATATGTGGATTCAATTCAAGTGGTCCTAAGAACAGGTGGAATAGTGGATGTCAAATCATCAGTGGTATTGACAACTTAGTTGGATCTCGTTTTCTTATTTTTTTAATTGGTGAACATTATTTAATTATACATTATGTTATTATTTAAATCGCATCACTTTAATTATCATTATTATTTTTTATTTTAGAAACAGAAAACTCTTTTATTGCGAAATTTATTTTACAAATTCATGAAATTTCATTATTTAAAAACCGCGTGATAAAGCATATAGACAAAAAGTGAGATCAAGCTGTTATAAAAAAAATGAGATTAAGTTTCCATATTTTTTTGTAATATACTTTTATTTAATTTATGAAATTACATAATTTTTAATAATTTATAAGATATTTTTACTCTCTTTACCTCCCATTTTTTTCAATAGCAATAGATTGTAATCTTGATTATTATTTAATTATACAATATATTAAAGTATGTACTTGTGAGTCGTCTAATCATCATAAATGATAACTACTGTGACATCTTTCGGAAAAAAAAAAGGTATAGTCTTTCAAATTAATTTATTCCACTATTTGATGTAACATTTTGAAGAAGATAGAGTAAACATTTCAACTAATAAATTTAAAAACAAAAAGCATGCGGACTTATTAAAAAAAAATCTTAAATAGATAAAGAAATGTCATGATACTCTGCATAAACTATTTATGATATTTATAAAGGGTTTGCATTTATCATGCAACAAGAAAAAAAAAAGTTTCTATAACATATAATATTTGTGAGAACTGTATTTTTTGAAGCAAATAAAAAAAGTAAGGCATGAAAAATAAATTTTTATAACATGACAAATTCATTTTCTCTACAATATAACATTTTTAAAACCCTATTTATAAATATTATATAATTTATCAATTAATTAAAAATGAAAAAATCAAATAAAAAACATAAATTAAATTATGAATGCAATGAAGTTTATGGATGGAAAGTCATGCATATATCCGGTTATCATGATAACTGATAAGTTCTTATGTGCTCCTGGTGTTCTCTTACACTACGCATTGACGTAGTGTTTGGTTGAAGGTTTATTTTGGAATTGATGGAAAAGTGTAAGTGGATATTGAAAAATATCACGTTTGGTTCAGGTTTTTTCAAAAAATACTAAGCAAATAGGATAGATGGGAAAATGACTTTTGTGTTGATTTTTGGATGAAATTCACTTGAGATGTGATATTTTGAGATAACTGAGAAAGTGAAAAAGCAGGTGCAAAGTTTCTTCCGAACATAGATTTTGCATATTTAAATAAATTTCCCTGGTAATATTTTGGTCAACCAAACAACTTTTTTTACATTTTCCTACCAAACTCACTTTTCAACCATTTCTCTAATAAAAAAAATTTCTCCCGAACCAAACAAATACCTGAATACGTGATAACCTAATCGGATCTGGTCGTTTTCCTATTTCAGAAGGTTAACATTATTTATACATATATTTTTTATTTTAATCGTATTACTTTTATCATTATTACTCTTATTTTAATTTTAAAATTAGAAAATTCTATATCTATTAATAATTAATTTTAATGTGACATTATTATTACAAAAATTATTTTACAAATTTATGAAATTTCAACATTTAAAGATTCAAGATAAATAATATAGATAAACTGTGAGACTAAGATTCCATATTATCGAGAAATGTATAATTTTTTAATATTTTATATAATACCTTTAGTGGAGTGTGTTTGGTACAAGGTATTTTTGAAGATGACTAGTAAAGCTACATTGGTAAACGTGAATTGCCATGTTTGGTACACGTTAACAACATACTCTTCCCAAATATATTCGTTTATCGGTAATCGAATTTATAAAGAAACTAAAATTTCATATTACCAAAAAATATGTGGTAATTGAAGAATCCAACATCAGGGAAAGCTGAAAAGCAAATTGTAAGATAAAAATACCCCAGCTCACATCAAAACCTAGGTTTGGTGTTTTAAAAAGTTAAAAGTTAGTTTAAATCAACCAAACACATACTCAGTAAAATTATTCAATATTCCCATAATATTTGCGTCTACCAAACAACTTTTTTATATCATTCTCAATAAATTCAATTCCTCATTATATTACTGAAAATTTTCAGACACTACATTTTTTTCTCTCTACCGAACACACCTTACTCTCTTTCTTACCCATTTTTTAATAGCAATAGGTTGTAATCTTAATTATTATTATTTAACTATACAATATATTATAGTATTTTCATGTAACTGATGTAAGTCATCTCGTCATCATAAATGATAATTAATGTGAAATTAATTACTCTTAACGCCATTTGATGTAACATTTTCAAGCAGTTTAGAGTAAACATTTCGGCTGATAAATTTAACACCAAATTTATCAGTTAATTAAATATTTATTACAAAGCTAAAAAAATTATATTGATATTTTGCGTAAATTATTCATGATATATACTTTTTATAAATTTTGTGTCAGTTATCAATTAATTAAAAACAACAAATTCGAATGAAAAACATATACTAAACGATAATTGCATTGAAGATGATGGATACAAAATCATGCAATGACGTGTTATCATGATAAATTATCACGTCCTCCTGGAATAATAGTTTTTTCTTACTCTATACATTAAATACGTACCTACTTAAAGTCCACCTTGAAAAAAAAAATATAAAATAATGATGACTTACATAGTTTGAGTGATTCGTATTTAATGAAAAAATATTTGTCATTTTAAATGGCAGAAAGTTATATCATTTTAAGAGAGATACAGATACAGAAAATTTGAATTTTAAATTAAAAAAACTATTCACTTTCTCTCTCCCATGATTTCTATTTTTCTGTGTCTATCCCTTTCCTAAAATGACATAATTTATGTTATTTTAAATGACAAACACCAAATCTCGTATTTAATAATACAAAATAATAAAAATTATATTATTATAGTAGCGAGTATAAATATTCGGTGTCATCAATTACTCTTCCTTGCCCAGTGCTAAATTGTTGACATATCCTCCTAAAAAACAAATATCCCACTATACACGAATCGATTCATTGTCATTAAATCAAATTGAATGAACCTAATATGTATTACATGAATATGTTCTTCAATAATTTCAAATTTTTTGAAGGGTACTTAATTTATATTTTTTAAAAAAGAAACACTGTACTTTGTTTTTGAAGGCCCCCTCTAATTTATTGGTATTCCTTTTATGCTTCATTGTATGTAGTTCATAATTCGCACAAACCCAAAAAAAACCCGCACCACACCACGTGTTGTGGGAATTTTCCCTATTAGGCTTTTCATTGTAGTAGAGAAGTAAACACTGGTCATTCCTAAACCATTCTTCTACTAATACTTCCTCCTCTTCAAAACGGTCAACCTCACATCACATGCTTCAAACCTCAAAATTCAACACTCCACACACTGCTGAGGTTCCAACCATGTCAACAGAACACTTGACTAATGGCGAACCCGAATCCCTCATCGTACAACCCTTGTTGTCTTCGCAAAGATCCATTGTCAACTCCACGTCCCAGGTTGCCATTGTTGGCGCCAATGTCTGCCCTATTGAGAGCCTTGATTATGAGTCAGTTTTTTTTTTTTTTTTTTTTTTTTTTTTTTATGTGGGTCTCTTGCTTTTGTTCAAAGATGGAATTTTTCTAGTGACCCAGTTCTAAAGTCTTCCCCTTTTTGTTATGGGTGTTTAGGATTTTTGAGAACGAGTTCTTCAAGCAGGATTGGAGGAGCAGAGGGAAGGTTCAGATATTCCAGTACATATTGATGAAGTGGCTCTTGTGCTTTCTTATTGGTATGATCGTTAGCCTTGTTGGGTTTTGCAACAATCTCGCTGTGGAGAATCTTGCTGGCGTGAAGTTTGTGATTACATCCAATATGATGTTGGAGAAGAGGTAGTGAGTCTAGTGACTAGAATTTTATTTCATGTTGCTTTGGAATTTCGAAATTTAACTCTTTCCTTTTTTATGGATCCGAATGAATTTTTGTGAGTTAGCAAAAACTTTATGATTACTTTTCAGAATTTATATTTTTTGGTTTGTAATGATTAGTTGAATTCTTCTATGTGCACTCTTTTCATGTGAAGTTGCTGATAAAGCTTCGAAATGTCATGCAGGTTTCTTTTGGCCTTTGTTACATTTTTTGCTTCAAATTTGAGTCTCACGCTTTTTTCCTCTATAATCACGGCTTTGATAGCACCTGCTGCTACCGGTTCAGGTATACCGGAGGTGAAAGCTTACCTTAACGGTGTAGATGCTCCTGGAATATTTACCCTACCAACTCTGTTCGTTAAGGTATGCACTACAACTCTTTTTCAGTGCTGGGTCATAGACATTCATGTAAGCTTGTTCATAAGTTGTAAATATTTCCAATTAGCTTGATGTATTCTGACGTCAGATGTGATGCTATGACTAATGTTTCCAGAAAACTTTTGTAGTTCTTAAGCTGCATAAGAAATTAAAATTTATAATGTTAAAATTGTTATGTACTAGGTGGAGTACGCAAATAACATAAAGACCTTGGTAGTTGGTACTGAAAGGTGGAACACGGGATTACCAATATTTGGTCAGTTTGTACTAATCTGTGAAGTGTCAATTTCATTGTTGAAGTCATTTTTAAGTTTAACCCACCAAAATCCACTTCCCATTGATATCACTATTCATTAACATTTTTCTTTGTACACCACAAAAGTGATGTAAATCTTACAACATTTTATGGTAGTTAGTGACTTGCTATTCGGTGTTGATAACTTTTTGTTTGGATGAATTCTTTCATCACTGCATAAAGTTAGTCTATGTTAGAGATTTATGATATAAAACCATTAATGTGGCCTTCATCTAAAATCTTAAGTTTTTGGATTGAATTGGTTCTTTACATGGTATCAGAGCCTTTGTAACCAAGTGGTTACGAGTTCGATCCTCACCGCCCCTCATTTTATTAATAAATAATTAAATATTATGGAGTTTCTTATCATAGCTAGGCGGAGCCTGTGCATTGTTCACCCTTCATGCCCAATGAGCTTTTTTTGTGAGTGGGCGTGTTAGAGATTTATAATATAAAACCATTAATGTAGCCTTCGTATAATAGTTTTAACTTTTGAGTTGAATTGATTCTTTACAGGCTAGTAACATATTTCAAAAGTTATTAACATAGACGAATAAGTTACTAGCAGCCACAAAGTAATGTAAATTTACACCACTCTTGTGGGGTGCAAGTAATGTTTCCCATCACTTTTTAGCCATATTATCTGTGAATTACCTGCATGAGCACTTCTTTCGTTATGTCTTACATTTTATACTTTCCTCTAGTAAATTCCTTTTTTTTTTTTTTTCCTGTAATATGTATACAATAGCAATATATCATGTTGTCCTTTCTAATTTGTTCAGGAATCAGGGGAAAAAAATTAATGGCTAATTGGCTATTTCTACTCTGTCGTTCCTGTTACTCTGATAATACCACCTCGAGGGTGTATACTGCTTGTCTAATTGGAGAAGATATTCTATTTTCAGTGTTCTATCTTTTCTTCTCCTTCCTTGACGCATGGAGCACATGTCTTGATAGAAATTCCCGGAACAATATTAAACTGTTTCTCGAATAACATAGAGTTCAGCCTCAAGATATATCATTTATTCTGTTGTCTCTTAATTAGTACTCTGGATTCCTTTATTATAATTAGTCAGACAGGAATTGTTGTTTTTCATGAAGAAGAGATTTACTTTCATGTTGGTTCTATTCACAGATTATCGGAAGCATTACGGCAGTTTCATCATCTCTTCTTATTGGGAAAGCAGGGCCTATGGTGCATACAGGTGCATGTGTGGCATCATTGTTGGGTCAGGGTGGGTCAAAGAGATATGGGTTAACGTGGAAATGGTTACGGTTTTTTAAAAATGATCGAGATCGACGAGATCTAATAACATGTGGATCAGCAGCTGGAATTGCTGCTGCCTTTCGTGCCCCTGTTGGTGGGGTGTTGTTTGCTCTTGAAGAGATGACTTCTTGGTTTGTTTTCCTATCTACTTAACATTACAATTTTTCTCTTGTAAAAACTCTGTTAATTTTTCATGATGCTTTGCTCGAGGATTGGAATAAATATTTGCTGCCATATGAATGGTTTTTGCCAATGTTCTTGTGAAGCTGTTAATTATTCCTCCTCCCCTTTCTTTTTATTTTCAATTAAAAATATGATCATGCCTTTACTTTTGTTATTAATTGTTGGCTTTCGACTGCTAATTTGTGGCTAGACTTTGCTCAATATAATTTTTTTTTGAACCATTTATATACTGTAATTTCTCATTAGGCTTTGATTCTTATTATACGATAGATGGCAAACACATTAAACCAAACACCTCTGAAACTGAGGTAGCTCCTTTTTCTTATCAAGGTAAGCATGACTTTCAAAAGATCAGTGAGGAAAAACATGGCTATTTTCTTACTTCCTTGTGTTTCTTTTTTAAGAGAGGGAGGGGGGGATGAGGTTTAGCAAGGTGTATATTGAACTGATTAGGGATTCAATCACTTCTCTGGCCTCTGTTGCCCTCATTCTATAGGTCTTTTGCTCTCTCTCTTTTTCAATAAACCAAAATTATTTCGTAAGCGATAGACATACTAAAGGCTTCTGATTAATTGTCCAGCAGGCTTGTGTCTAGGTGTTTATGTGCAAAGCGTTGATCGAGAACCTTCAGCCTTCAGATAGCCATTGCATTAGCATAATCTTTTGTTTCTCTTCCCAGTGTCCCCATTTTTTGTCTTATAAACGGCTTGTTATTATTTATCAGAATTGCTTTCCTTTTAATTTTAGTGGATAAATCGTTATTGTTTTATCTTATCAGTCTGAAAATCCAGAAGTCAATTTTGTTCCCGTTGATTATCTCAAAAATAAATTAATAAATTGTTAATTTATGTTCTACAGGTGGAGGACTGCCCTTCTGTGGAGAACTTTCTTCACAGCAGCAATAGTTGCAATTTTTCTTCGTGCTATGATTGATGTATGTTTAAGTGGTAAATGTGGGTTATTTGGTAAAGGGGGACTGATAATGTTTGATGCTTATTCAGCAAGTATTTCATATCATGTGGCAGATGTTCCTCCTGTGTTTATTCTTGGTGTTATTGGGGGGATACTTGGAAGCTTCTATAATTTTTTGTTGAACAAAGTTCTTCGCATATACAATTTTATCAATCAGTAAGCTTCTCTTTTAATTAAGTCGATGGGACAAAATTAAACTTTTCAGTTTTCATAACACTGCAATGTGTTCTGCCGAGCTCATTCTTCCCATCATTTACTCTTGCAGGAAAGGCACCATTTGGAAAATTTTGCTTGCTTGTGTAATCTCCATTTTTACCTCCTGTCTTCTTTTTGGTTTGCCATGGCTTGCAACTTGCCGACCTTGTCCACCTGATGCAACTGAGTCTTGCCCTACAATAGGTCGGTCTGGTATCTACAAGAAATTCCAATGTCCACCTAATCACTACAATGATCTTGCCAGCCTCATTTTTAACACAAATGATGATGCTATCAGAAATCTATTTAGCAAGAACACCGACGATGAGTTTGAGTATTCTTCAATGTTCATCTTTTTCATCACATGCTTTTTTTTAAGTATCTTTAGCTTTGGAGTTGTTGCTCCGGTCGGTCTTTTTGTGCCACTTATTGTGACTGGCGCATCTTATGGACGCTTTGTTGGAATGTTGGTTGGCAAACAGTCCAATCTTAACCATGGCCTTTATGCTGTACTTGGCGCTGCTTCCTTTCTTGGTGGATCTATGAGGACAACAGTTTCTCTCTGTGTTATTATTCTTGAACTGACCAATAACTTGTTATTGCTACCCCTAATCATGATGGTGCTTTTGGTATCTAAGACTGTAGCAGATGCTTTCAATCAAAATATATATGACCTTATAATGAAAGCCAAGGGTTTGCCTTATTTAGAAACTCATGCGGAACCATATATGAGGCAGCTAACAGTGGGAGATGTAGTCACTGGCCCACTTCAGATTTTCAATGGCATTGAGAAGGTTCGTAACATAGTGTTTGTTCTCAAAACTACCAGACATAATGGATTTCCTGTTATTGATGAGCCTCCACTTTCTGAAGCTACAGTTTTATTCGGTATAGTCCTTCGCGACCATCTCCTCACGTTGTTGAAGAAGAAAGCTTTCTTGCCCACACCAACATCAATAAGTGATGATGTCTTGAAACAGTTTTCAGCAGATGGTTTTGCAAAGAAGGGTTCAGGCAAAGGTGAAAAGATAGAGGATATACGGTTAACGGAGGAAGAGATGGACATGTTCATAGATCTACATCCATTTACTAATGCTTCACCTTATACTGTTGTGGAGACAATGTCCCTGGGAAAGGCCCTTACACTTTTTCGAGAGGTCGGTTTAAGACACATGCTAGTGATACCCAAGATCTCTGGTGTAAGTAATTTTCTCATGACTTGTTGCAATTTCGATTTCTCATGACTTGTTGCAATTTCGATTGAGAAAGTTAACTCCTGTGTATAGTTGGTAAAAGTAGGGTGCTAAATTTAGTTGGAGTATCTGCATGTATTGTTTCCTTGCATGATACTCTTAGTTTGTTATCACCAATTCAGCGTTTTTGTTCTCTGTTGTTCACTTATCTAAGTTTTATGCATGCTAACTGCAGAGATCACCTGTAGTGGGTATATTGACAAGGCACGATTTCATGCCAGAACATATATTGGGTTTGCATCCTTTGCTGGTAAGAAGGAGGTGGAAAAGATTAAGATTACAGAACCTTTTGGAATACTTTTGGGATATCTGAGAAAGGCTATCAAGCTTAAACTTCAACAGTAAGGCTTACGTATTCTTGTGATAGTTTTTTTGTGACATCTGAACAACGTTACCAAGCTTAATTATTCTTGTGTTGTAGAAGGCATCCATATTCTTGAGACCAGAGTATTAGTGATGATTTTTATTTTCTTTTACTCCTAACTTCATCATGGAATCCAGAGCTGGTAGTCATATTTTTCATATTACGAATTAGGATATATGAATGCCTTGTATATAGGACATGAACGTAAAAAGTTGTTTTTTGGCAATGGCATACGGCTGCTTAAAAAGTGGGCCTCTGATCAAAGGGGGTTTTGTTTTGTTTTTATTTAATAGCTTTGTACTTTCTGTCATCATAATTGATCAGTGGTTGATTGAGGGTCCTCCTTCGCTTCTTAATTATTCTTTTGTTGGTTTATTCTTTTGTTTTATATCAATTCTGAATAAAGCAGTTCGATTTCTGTATCAATCCTACATAAAATGATTGGGTTATTAAATTAATTTGAAAAAAAAAAAATATTATTCCGTTGATGCGATAAGATTCGGTTCACAATCTGATGCAGTTTCTTTTGAATTTTGTGCACACTTCTAACTGAAACAACCTAGGTGAATTCATAGAATATTATACTACAACAACGTGGAGTTTAGTAGTATTGCTAAATGTCAAATCATTATAATTTGAACAAGAAATCAAGAACTTGGAGATAAATGAACTAGTCACATTATATGACCATTCGTATATCGTTCAAAAGAAACGAAGAAAGACAATGATACCGTGTTACAAAATGAAGGTAAGCCATTTAGCAACTAAGTTTTGGCATTAACAAACTTTGTAGCCATTTTTCAGGAGTTAATGATCAATCGTCCAAAAGCATTTGTTCTGACTGACCATTCAGGCAATCACCAACCCCTCATTATCTATTGCTCCATCTTGGGAGTGATTCATTAACAAATTCATATTTTACGAAATTCGTTGTCAACTCTACAAAGAAAATATTCCAATGTCATCTAGAAGACCACCCAAATGAAAGTAAACTTCAATTCACAATACCTAAAACACGTTCAGTTCAGGTAGGATAAAGAAAGAAGGAAAGATTTTTTTTAAAAAAAAGAAAAAGAAAAAGAAAACACCGACTTCACAATATCATCAAGTTTGAGTAATTATTCTCTCTTTGCACTCTTGAGGTAATCAGCCCTTATTGCCCACAATTGCTCACCCACTGATTTCATGTCAGGTCTATCTGATCGAATGGGTGCTGCACACTGAAATGCCAAATCAAACATCTTCATGAGCACATCTGCATTTACAGCTTCTTCCATTGAAGGATCCACCAGTTCCACCACACTTCCTTCATTATACTTCCTGAAGGCCTGCACAATGATCACAACCGCGTAGTTTTAGTGCTTGAACATGAAAAGAGACACCAAATATTTCATCTATAAACTTAAGTTAGACATATGCTAACTTAACATGATCACTGTAAACATGTCCATATCAAATTATTCCCATAAAGAATCGATGACATAAGGTTATACTGTTCTGGAGTGACACCATTAAGTTATTTCTTAAGAGGTTCCTAACTTGCATGATCACTGTTGGATGCATGCCTTAAATGTTATATCATCTCTTCAACATATGCCAAAATTTAAATGGACAATTAACACTTGTAGGGAAAAAAAAAGTTGAAGAACAAAAAATTCATCTTGATAAGAACAAATTATGAGCATACCCATCTTAGTGTAACTCGCTCTTCAACAGTTTTCTTCAACTCCACAGGACGGCGACCTGTCACAATTTCTAAGAGCAAAATTCCAAATGAGTAAACATCACTTTTGGGAGTGAGTTGGTATGTTTTCATATACTCAGGGTCCAAATAACCAACTGTTCCCTTCACTTTTGTAGAAATGTGTGTTTGATCAGTGTTCACTGGACCCTGCCTTGCAAATCCAAAATCAGCAACTTTGGCTCTCATGCTTTCTGTCAGAAGAATGTTGGATGACTTCACATCTCGATGGATAATTTGCTTTTCTGTACTAAGATAAGAAAAAGGTTAGCCATCAATATCTATATATAATTAATAGACTACGTAGGGAAAACCTTATACCATGCACCAACGACTAGAAAAAATATATCTATCAATCAGGAATATATGGATATTTTCAGCATGCATAGAAGGTCTATTCCAAAAAGGGAAAAGTTGAAATATGCTGAAAAGGTATCAATGCTCACTACTTAAGCATATGATGTCCTGTCAATAGACTATGCTTCAGTAAACAAACAGCATATAACTAACTATATTCAAAGTTGTTTTCTTAAAACTCTAAACTTCACAGCATCTATTTATAATCTATTTATCTAAGGTGTAGTGCAGAATAATCTTACATTTGGCTTATATGCACAGAAAATGTAGAAGGTGAACAAAATTCGCAGAATAGAGGGATTACTGACCTGCATACAGATGCAGATAGGTCAAGCCATGAGCAACATCAATTGCAATTTCGAGGCGCTGATTGAAGTCCAGGATTTTTCCACGCAGACCTGCAAATTATATCAACATGATATTCCATTTTAGTTTCAATATTCAAAAAGACAGACATTGGCAAAGAACAGTGCATGGTCTTACCATCCAAATGTTCTCGAAGAGTACCATTTGGCACATACTCTGTAATAAGTAGGCGTTCATTTCCTTTGTCAATATAACCTAGTAGCTTCACCAGGTTTCGATGATCAATTTTGGCCAGAAGTTCAATTTCACTGCTGAATTCTGTTCTCAAACTCTCAAAATGTTCCTATACAATTTAGTCATATCAGCATAGAGAAAATAGTTACTTCTACCATTATTAGTATCATAATTTTCCTTATAAAAACAGAATCCAGAACTTTAGCACTCCAAAGTAAGCTGAAAATTTTTAGACTACATGTGAAGAGCTATGGCTTACTCTTTTTGCGCGTTTCACAGCCACAACTAGGCCATCTTCTAACTTGGCTTTGTAAACGGTTCCAAAACCTCCTTCGCCTATTTGCAATGTTTCTGAGAAATTACGGGTAGCTCTTGTAACCTGGCTCAAGTTGAGATGTAATGATTGAAGTCTACTAAGTTTTGGAGACGTTGAGAATCTTGATGGACTAGGTGGCACCCGAAGTGGACTAGCTGGGACCTTTTCAGAAACGGAGTTTCCTTCAAAGGAGGAAGTTGAATCCACTACAACAGCAAAATTGTTCTTTACTTCTTAAGTGTAACGGGAAGCACAATCTTTTTTTTTTTTTTTTCCTTAAAAGAAAAGTATATCATAACAATCGAAACTGCAATTTTAAGATAACATAGTAACAGATATTTATCAAATTGTGCACAAATTGTAATTCACAACATGAATGCAAATGTCTGGCACGAAAGTTATCCATAAAGTCCCAAAAAAGATGGTAAAAGTAGTTATAGAATCAACTCACTTGAAATTGGGTCCTTGGACAGAACAGCATGAGCAGTTGCTTTTCGTCTCTTCCCATACATACAAGGACAAAGAACAACACAACATACCAACAAAGCCCCACCTGCAAAAATACCAACTTTGTCGCTTGACAGAGGCTGAGAAACTCCTTGTGATGTAGATTTATTGCTTAAATCCTTCTGCAGAAGTTTCCTCCCTGCCTTTGAAGGTAAATTCACTGCAAACAATAAAAGCCAATATAAGCTGTTTTTAAAAACTATGTGCATAACTATACTCAAATTAACATCTGATGTGTCCATACATACCACTAGAGACATCCAACGCACAGTTGTTACTTCCAAAGTAGTCCTTCACATCGCAACCGTTTGCAATATACAATTGGAGGGCCTTACAGAAAGCAACTTTATTTACTACATTCCCATTTATGTAGAATAGGTCCTGACCACGACTAGAATATGAATAGGCTACCCAATTAGTGCCACAACCCTTTGACTGAAAGAAAACTGCAGAGCCAAAAACTGTTGACAATTGCAGTAATAGCACCAAGAACAACGCAGTGATAGCAGCCATTTAACTAAACAGTGCAGTCCAATTGCAGTTTTGTGTCCTAATACATAAGGAAAGCATTTCCTCAACCTGGTGTACAGAACTACCCAACAAAACTAGCAGAATCCTGATCAAGCATCATAGTTTACCTGGAACTTAACACCCAAATGATTTCTGGTTTCACAGTTCCAAAACACTTGAGAAAAGGAAAGTTTTTTTTTTTTTTTTTTAAGGAAAAATTCTCTGAAATATTCCCAGCAAACAATCAATCAATCAAAGCTGTAAGCCCAATTCACCAAATTGGGCTACAATGAATTGATGAGGCATTAAATTTCTGCAGAAAAAGGCAAGTTCAATTTCTGACAGTGAGAACAAAAAAGATCAACGTAAAAGAGGAGTTGCCTTGGATCAGATAAAGTTGTGTACTGTGGCTTCAATTTCTCCGAACACCCAATCGGACAAAAAATTGCAAGGAGCCAGCTGGCTAGGAATCCAAGAACATGGAGCTCTCACACAAAATTCCGATTATCCAATTCCCACAAAACGCAAACGTATGGACACAAAAGATAAGACAAAAGAACAAAACTTTCTGCTGGGAATCAAGGAAAGGTAATATCTTGGGATCTGGGTAGTGCAAAAGAAGAGAGTAACAGCTGAAAGAACAAGGGAAGCACAAGTGGCGGCTATGGAAGAAAATTAATAAACAGAACTAAACCCGGTTTTACACCTCGGAATTGTCCTATATAAGTCTGACAGACATGAATAAACATTATTCATGAGAGAGGAGAGAGGAGAGAGGAGAGAGAGAGGGAGAGACGGAGCCAAGATAAGGAACAAAACTTTAGTGAACTGTGACGCAAAACCATTTGCCGTCTCTACGTAATATTTCGTATAATATAATTTGTATATTTCGTTTATTACTTTATTATTCTATTGTGTTGTATTTAACACCAACAAATTTGGCATGTATAGTTTTATTATTATTATTATTATTATTATTATTATTATAATATTTGTTTACTATGCTGCAGAAAATGCGAAGTTGCCGTGGTTGACCATCGAAGCTTGGGTGTTGGGAGAGAAATAGCTATTGGAATTGCCAGGAAGGTATCTGGAGGGCATTTTTGTCATTCTGAAAAAACCATTTCTGAGGGTTGATGTGATTTTGGTCCTTAACTTTTGAATGTGAAAAGGGTTTTCACATGTGATTTTGAAAATGGTAACTTGGGTGGGGACAAGTAAACCTAAACATTGTATTAAAAAAAAAACCGGCGTTTAATCATGATGAGTCAGTTAAGCAACCTCAGCTTGAAGCTTATATTGAAGTCAAGTCCTAATATTGATAAATTATAATTATTACCAATGAAAAAAATAGGGGGAAGAGAAACTATACTTACTGGAGAGTAGCTTTCAAGAGATTACTTTGAGAATAATATAAATTATTAAAAAGATTTTTATTTAATATTTTAAGATTTTGCGTTAAATTAATTTTGTACATGGTATCAGAGTTTCAGTGATCATATATAAAATCACAAATTCGATCATAACCGCTCTCACTTTATAGTGAATTAAAATAAGTATAGATAAATCAAAAATTAGACCTATGTAATATTCACGCTTCAAGCTCAGAGACTCTTCGTGAAGGGATGTGTTAGAGAATAATATAAACCGTTAAGAAGGTCATCACTTAACGCCTTAAGATTTTTGGTTGAATTGATTTTTTACATGATATTAGAGTTTCAGTGATCATAAGATCACGAGTTCGATCTTTATTCCTCACTTGGGAAATTAAAAAAGCATAAGGTAAAAAAATAAAAAAAATTAGACCTATAATATCCACGTTTTAAGCTCAAATGTCTCTTACATGATGAGGTATGTTAGAGAATAATATAAATTATTAAAAAAGCCTTCATTAAACACTTTAAGATTTTGTGTTGAATTAATTCTTTACAAATACGGTAAGGATATTTAAAAGGAAAAAAGAAAAATTAGAGATGAATTGGATATGATGGTTGAACTTCAATTGGAATTACAGAACGAAGAACGTCATTTACTTAAAAAAATGTAACAAGTTGAGGAGAGAAAAAAATTAGTCAACAATAGAGAATGAGTTTGAACGCTGCTGATACTGGGCTTAATTTTAGGGCTGAGAAGATGTAGGATGGGCAAATCTAAACTTAATTGATCGACGCGATTTAAGCGTTAAAGCTGGCTTTTTCGGATGTGACAAGACCCGCTTAAAACTCGGATCAAACCGGAAAGAGACCAACCCAAATTAAAACTCGGGTCTCGGTTTTAGGCTTTTGCATGCCTGGGTTTTGAAACAAATCAGACTGTTGGATCCAGAATGTTTAGAATATCAGTCAGGTTTACAAACTCATCTAATAAAATTTTAAGATTTATTGAAAATTTTAAGATTTATTGAAAATTTTAATTTTAAAAAAGGTAAAAGAATAAAATTTGAATAAAAACATTTTTGACTAATGAATGATTTCATTTATTATTTAGTTTTAGACTTTCATAGTACTGACCACTGAGTCACCAAGACCAGAAGCTGGAATGGTTTCAGTGCTCATTGGGCTTGTCCAACAGTACCATATAGCAGTTTTCGTGTATGGCTATCAGGCTATGTATTAGGTTATAGAAAAAGCTGATTTCTTATGAAGATATTAGGTCCAAATGCAACGCTCCCAAGTCAAAAGCAGCACTGATGGTAGTTTAGTTCGTGTTATCATTGAATAAGTGAAGTGATAATACGTGTTCGATATTTTTCAGTAATTTAATATTATTTTTAGGAAAAATTTAAAATTTTAATTCAAAAATTGTTTCGAATTAAACTAAGGGTTTGTTTTTTCTAAAATTACTTTAGATACTTTTATCTAATGTTCATCGAAACGACGTCGTTTTGGGACGGAAATCATGGTGTTTTTGTAATTTTGATTTATTTCAGGGTTATAATAGTCTTTATCATTCTAATTTTTTAATTTTTCAACCTCAAAACGACGTCGTTTCGATGAACATTAGACAAAGTTGTCTAAAGTAACATCAAAAAAATTTTTCCCTTAAACTAATCGCAAAATAATAAATCGATTGAAATATTTAAAAAAAGACTCTCCTCTGACATGACAAGTAATTTTGTCTCTTTACGTAAATAAATCTATAATATCATTGTTGTACTTATGACAAGCCAAGAATATTGCACCAGGTCAACAACTTTTTTTTGAAAAAAGAGAATAAAAAAGCTACTTTCTTACGGAAGAGTGACCATTTTGTCACACTTAGCAAAAAAATTTACCAGACTGCCACGTCAACAGTAAATTTTGCCAAAATGCCACGCGGTATATTTCGCTATACTGTGTAGTGAAATATGTTTGCAAGTAATTCGCTATACAGTGTAGCGAAATATACCATGTCAGAATGCACAGTCAGCAAAAAATGACACGTGTCAACCAGGCAGAAATTCGTTACACTGTAAATTCGCTTGAATTCTGTCTGCTTGACACATGGCATTTTTGGTTCTGTGCATTCTGACGTGGCATATTTCACTACACTGTGTAGCAAATTACTTACAAACATATTTCGCTATAGTGTAGCGAAATATGCCGCGTGACATTTTGACAAAATTTACTGTTAGCATGGTAGTTTGATAAAAAAATTTGTCAAGCGTGACAAAATAGTTACTATTCCCTTTCTTACTTTTCATTAAGTTTTACTAATCAAACTTACTGTAAAATATATTATCGCACCAAATACGCAATACCACCAATGTACCTAAAATGATCTCCCTTACGTGGATGATAGCAGCAAAACTTTGTGCTCCTTTTCGTTATGTATGCATGTGATAACGAAATTGCAGTGCCAAAACTCAATAATGTTACAAATTATTTATTGTTATTTTATAAAAAGTCTTAATTAATTACACTAACTTATAAGTATAAACTTTTATTCTTTTTTTTATACATGAAAATGAATAAACTTTTATTCTGTCAAGGTAACATGATATTGTCTTTCATTAATTTATCTGGAGTTTTTATTATTTTTTGTGACATAGGAGACATTGAAGGAAAACGGAACTACAAAGTAAGTAGGATCAACTGATCATACTACATGATTTATCAGCTTATTAACAAAATTCGTTATACCAGATACAATAAAAATAAATTGAGTATTTATATGGCTTTTATCATGCTATTTTAATATTAGAAATATATTTATCATTTTAAACAATATAATTTTATATTATTTTAAGTGAAATAACCATAATTTGATATTTTTTATGTTCTCTTGCTATATTTTATTTTACTCTCTCCGAAATATAAAATTAACCAATTAAAATAATAAATATTTTTCCTCTAATATTAGTCTAGATATTTTCTTGTTAAGTTCAATCATATGCCTAATAAAAATCAGCAGCATCTCCCAGCAAATTTGTTATCAACTGACCACATCACATGCACTTTTTTTATAGCTAAAAAATTAATAGACTTTCACATGCAGCAGTAGGACAAACCTCCACGTGTTATTTGCAGATTGAGTTTATGAACACTTTTGCCGGAAGGGAACAACTGATTGAACACCTTCCCAAATTTATGCATGGCAGTATAGATAATACATGAGTTTGTATTCATCATGCAACATGATACAAAAAAAATTCTTATACACAATATTTTGTGGAGTCTGTATTTTTTGAAGTAAAAAGAAAAAAAATTAAGGCACACAAAATGAATCTCTATAATATTACACAATCACTTTTCTAATAACATAACTCTTCTAAAACCCATAATTATATTTGCATCTCATCTCCTCTCGAGGATAAATAGTGAAAACTAAATATAAATGCACGTCTTTTCGAATTGCGTATGATTCCTAGAGGATTGCATGTGTCTCTGTGGGTGACGCTGTCTGGTTGGTATATGTTGGAATTCCGTTTCCCTTATGAATATTAGGTATTCGTCAAAATCATTTTCTAAAAATGAAATGAATATTTTATTCGAGTTTTATGTATAAAATGGGTACTCTCATATTTAGGGGTGATAAATGAGTCAGGGGCCTTTGGCTCAGCTCGTGAAGGCTCAAGCTTACATGCCTAATATTGATTGTTGGAACCAGGCTTGAACTTGTATAAAAACTCGTTTAGTAAAAAGGTCTCAGGCTCCAATTCAAAAGTTCGTCCTTGGAGCCTCTCAGGCTGGCCTAGTATATTAATTTTTATTTTTATTTATATTTTTTATATTATTTGTAATAGCCCTCTCTCTCCTCTCAATCCATTTCACCCCTGTTTTATTAGTTAAACAGACTTTTTGAATGATTTTGTTCTATATTATGTTGTTTCGATATACATTAAATTTATGAATATTGTTTCGATATACATTAAATTTATGAATATTTATGTAATTAGTAGTGTTGTTGATTATATATTTTGTTTGGATAAATTGTCTTATCTTTTTCTAACAGGCTAATAGGCCAAATTAGGCTTTTATTTTTTGTAAATAAGGCAGGCCAAAGGCCGATAATTATATTCGTAACAGGTAACAAGCTTGATAAGGCCGACACATTTAATCACAAGCTTAACATTTTAAGACCAAAGCTCGGCTCGGCTCGGCCCGTTAACACCCCTACTCGTATTAGTAGGGGAAAAATAACCTAAAATGTTAGAAATGAAATGTTAGAAATGAATTTTAAATGTGGGTGAGAAGTTTCACATTCACCATAATAATGAAATAAATGAGATATACATGAACTCATTATTTAAAGTTTTGGACCTGGTATAAATCTACTTATTGTGGTTTGACATTTAATTTATTGGTAAAAGAGTTTTGGAATCTATTTACGATTCAACCACTT